GGAAGGTAGAGAGGGGCAAGGAAAGCAGTCATTGCGGCTCCGGCGCAGAGGTCGGAAGTGAAGCCTGTGTGTCACGCAGTTACGTTTGAATTTCGACTGTTCAGCTTTTACACCCAGGGCGTGTTAGCCAGGTGTCTGAGAGTAACATCCAAGTAACAAGGATCGCCTGGACCCTTCTGGCACCGAGCGGTTGTGGTCAGTTTTGTGGGGTGCAGGGTGTCACAGAGCCATTCTGGATGTAACTGCTGGACATGTATGGAGGTTCACGCCCATACTTGCACTCTGTGTTTTATCGGTGATGAGTTGGTGATTGCTGAAGACGTTGCAGCCTGAAGTGGCTTTAGATACATCCCCCGTGGCTGTTTAGTAAGGATCCTGAGGAAGTTGTAGTCTGGTTTTGTGCCTGTTGAGTGATATGTGTGCCTTGCTTTCTGATTTCCCATAATATACAAATAAGTGACTATTGCCCTGTTTCTTGGCGGGGGTGTGTTTTCCTGTTAGTGGGAGAAATAAAGCACTTTAAGAAAGGGTGATGCACTCCATAGCTAATGTGTTGTGCAGCACAGAAAATCCAGGTGTTTCTGGAGATAATGCCAAGTACAGTGCTCTTTTCAATCTGTTTTCGTTAGCCTAGTACTGCTGTCACAGAAGCAATTACTGTGTGATTGGGTTTTTTTTCCTTGAAGCTAAAATTTATTTTTCCAGAATCACATACATGTATGCAAGTTCAGAGACTTCCTTGTTTTTTTTGTCTTGCCAGGCTATAGCCAGTTGCTGAGAGATAAACATAGTTTCCTATAAAACTTCTGGTTGACTTCATAATGGCATTTTTAATGTGGTAGTGTGTGTGGGAGCCCTGTTGTACATTCAACATTTAAAAAGCAAGTTATCAGTTGCCTTAAGTATTGAAGAAACAATTCCAAATTTACCTGAAGATATGCTCTTGAAGGCATTTTTCTACGAACTCTGATGTTTAAGCATGTTCAAATCATCTGTTGTTTGAGTAATATTGCTGAAATGCACAACAGCAAAAAATACCATGACTTACAGGGGAGAGGGATGCAGAAGCATTCCAGACAAAGACTCAGCCTTACATATAGAACCTGGCCAAAGTTTCTCCTGAAACTTTGTGAATGATGTCTTTCTGTTTTCTTTCTTAAGGATATGTGAATATCGGGAGAAAGTCTGAGCTAAAGGTGCTTACTGTACAGAGCAACAAGCAGAAGTCCACTGAGAAGTCATATGATTGACTTGCAGATAGCATCTTTTATGCATTTGTTGTAGGAGTGGTCAAACCTTGCCACATGAGCTGCATGCAGCTTGTTAGCACTTCCAGTGTCACTTGTCAACCATGTGGATTTTCTCTGGACTGCACAGATTTTTAGTGTGGCTTCTTAGAACTTGGAAGGAAACGTTCCTGTCAGCAAAATGTGCCTGCAGATTCTAGGGAGCAGTTGAACTGGAAACTGGTATCTCATGAAGGAGCACGTATCAGCTGCTAAGCAGGAAGTAGACTCATACAGGGTTTTGGTCCTTGGCACGGGTAAAAGTCAGCTGTCACTCGTAGGTTCCGTCAGCTGTCACTCGTAGGTTCCGTCAGCTCCCCATGTTCCTGCTCTGTCAAACGTTTCACTAAGTCTTGCTTAAACAAAGACGAACACAGTAAGCACCTTAGCAGGCTAGAAGTGCAGGCTTAGTGAGGCGGAGTGGAACCCTGTTTGTTGAGGTTAAGGAATATGGGCTGTGGGAAAGTATGCCTCCTGGCCGCATGAAGGCTTTGGTATACAGCAAGTAGGCTTAACAAGTATGGCTTCCCCTAATATATAATGTCGTTTAGGTCTTTTGTTTGTTTGTTTTTTCCTTTATGTAGCTACTCTTGAAAGCAAGGAAGTTTGGAGGTGTTAGATATGACAACAAATAAACCACAGTTTGGGTTGCTTCGCTGGTAACTTGCACAAGGCCCTGTATTGTAGTACAGAGGGGAAGCAAGCGCTGTACCACCAAACTTAATCTTTCAGTCCTGCTTTTGTTTGCAGTTCATTCTGTTTCTCATTCTGAAGTTAACCTGGCCAAAAAATGAGTATGCCTTGTGCTTGCTCAGGCGTGCCTGTCTTCAGTTTTCCTGTTACAAGGGCTACAGAAGTCACAGCGTTGACAGCTCTTCTCTTGAGCTGAAGTTAAAACTTCTTTGTGATATGCATGCAGAGTCTCCATTTGAAAACTTTAAGTTCCCGTAAAACAGCAACTGGAGTGTGTGGTCAGGCAGTGTAGTGGCTGTTTACTTACTTTGATTGCTCTGGATGTTTAACTAGGAGCTCTGAATTGCTCTCTGCAGAGATGCTGATCTCTTGCCAATGACTAGGCAGGGAACATGGGTGCCTAACTCTGGCATTCTTGACCTGTGCTAATAGCAGATGTCTGTGGTGGGCAGGGTGAGTGTCCCCCCTCTAGCATCTAATGAGACACCTCTTCAGTTGATTGAAGATGTTCTGTTTCACCACCCTGTGTATAATGCATGTTGGTGAACTCTTTCCAGGGCACGTGAAATGGCCACAGATGACAAACGGTCTCCAACGCTGGACTCTGCCAGTGATCTACCTCACTCTCCTAGTAGTCCGTCTCATCTCACTCACTTCAAACCCCTGACTCCTGACCAGGATGAGCCTCCTTTTAAATCAGCCTACAGCTCTTTTGTAAATCTCTTCCGTTTCAGCAAAGGTAAGTGCTTGGGGAAATACGTGTGCGTGGATTGGGTGTGCTGTCTGTTTTATTGATGCCCTCTGCTGCCATGTAAACTTGTAAAAACACCTCTGAATATAAGACCATAATGTCAGACAGCTGGCCAAATGGATGGCGAGTAGTTTCTTTTGTGAGGGATGTTGCATCTTGCTTTTGGGTGAGGTTTTTCATAGAGCTTTGCTGTGGGAGAAGATAGCCAGCATCTTGCAGCTGGAAATCTGTGGCTGCCCATGAAGGTCAGAGACAAGCCAGTTAGTAGATAGTATTGTATAGCTTCTTAGCTGGGCATCTGGATTTCCTTTGCCTGTATGAAGTTTTTTGGGACTAAAAGCAGGACTCTGCCAGCCTATATAAGCCAAGTGTGTGCCTGTCCTTCCAATGCAAGTTCTTACTCCAGACTTCCTCCACTCCTCACCTTCCTGTGCATCTTGTACCTTCAGTTGGGTGGCAGCTGAGCTGCAATAAAGCAGTGCATTTACAGGAAGTCCACCCTTAATTTGCATGGCTTAGGTGTTCCCTATTAAGAGGTCTCAAGTGTTGTGGAAGTTTTGTATATTAAAAAGTACTACTTGATTTTGGCCTTTGTGCTACATGTATTATGAAACACTTAAATTCTCAGTAGGCAATCTCTTAAAGAACTATGTGAGGCTTTTCTTTTTTGTTTCAAAGAAATATACTGCAAAGAGTGGTGAATGCATGTATTTGCATTTGTAGAAAAACTGTTTATCTCTTTGCTGGAGATGGCAAACTGGTCAGCTGCTTTTGTTTAGTCTGTTCATTATCCAGCTCTGCTAAGCATACTTCTGCAATGTTTGGGCTAGGGAAAAAGGGCCAAGATAGCTTTTTGCATAAGCAAGGTGATCTGTTCAGACTTTTCTTATGCTGAATGAAAAATAATTACTTTGTATGACTACTATTAGTTTGCAGAGTAGAATATCACCTGTCATTATTAATTTATTGAAAGTAACATAAGATGTAGTCAATATTGGCTTCACTTGTTTGTCTCTGACAAATGTAGCTGGAGTCAGCAAAATACTGTGTTTGGGAAAGAATGGGAAAACAACCTTGAAACAGCACATGAAATGGGCATGTTACTGGAATCAATGAGAACCTCTCTATACTTGATCCTCTGATGGAAAAGGGTGGTTTATTAAAGGCTGCAGTAACTTTAATGTTACCTCAGTACTGGCTTCTAACATAACTCAAAAACTCCTTTTGGGGCAGAAGCTGATAATCAAATGTAGCTATTCCATATAGAAAAAATAATTCATGCTTACCAGTTTGGTTTTTTTAGACATTTTTCACATTAGGGATATTTCTGAAATAATCTGAGCCTTGACAGACGAGTTCTACACACTGGCCTGTTTCCATGTTTTGTATGGTACTTTTCAGATGAAAAATTCATGTCTTTTGTTACGTATAATCATGATCCAAATGAGCTATTTATGACAGTTTTGTAGTCCTAGTATTGCATGCAGTACTGGTTTTCTTTATCGTGTTTGAACAGTTGGTTTCTTGCTTTTTGTCGACTCCAGATGATGGCAGGCTTTCATCCCCTGCAGAGAGAGCAGAGGCAGGACAGAGTGATCCACAAGCATTGAGTGGTGGCTGGTCCAGTCCTCAACATCCCACCAGGGCTCAGTCTCTGAGGTCACCGGTTCCTTACAAAAAACAACTGACTGGTGAGCTGCAAAGAAGATCATCTACAACCCTGGGTAATTTCAGCTCTTTGTGCTACAAGGGAATGTTGTACTAGCCAGTCTGGGATGCTTCAGAGTGAGATGGAAGGAGGTGAACAAAGGTTCATTGACTGTCTAGATTGATAGCAGAATTTGGTATCGGGCTACACTGCTTCTGTTAGTGAGGTCATACTTTAACCTCAGAAGTGTGTTCCCTCCACCCTTCTTAGTGTTCCAGCAAGACACTGTTGTTGGGGCTCTGCTGTTTCAATTACAAAACAGTCTGGAACAAAAGAGGCTTCCAAAATACATCCAAAGCCTTAAAGTCAGTTGAACCTTGATCCTGAAAATTTCTGCTTTGTCTTGAGAGACTTTAGTTTCTTAACAGCCACATGCAAACTATAACTTTAGAGCTCAGACTGAATGGGGTTGTTGTTTGTGTCTTCAAGGGAGTTAGAAATGCAGGTTTTTGCTTGTAGCTGTTTTGAGGAGAATTGAATAGGAACTTGTGTCTAAACCTTTTTTATTCCTAACCTTGGAACTATGGCCAGATGCCATACTGACTCTCTTTTAGCTGGAATGGGAATTGAATGTGATTTCAAAGGTGCAACTGTATAATGGCTTTATGAAGATCTGGAAGATCTAGTAAGTAGATTGCAGGGGTCCCTCTTGAGAGCTGCCTGGTTGCTGTCAGCCATTTGTGATAGCCTTGAGCAAACTGCTAAGCTGTGTAAAAATTCTGTGCAAGACAGCATTTCCAAGTGTATGGTACCTAGTTCCTAGTTTTTACTTTCATTAAAAATAATCCAGCCATCAAGCCAGGAAACACGAAATTGCTACTCTGCCCTTAATTGGTTTAGTGGTAGACTTGGTAGTGTTAGGTTAATGGTTGGACTTGATGGTCTTAAAGGTCTTTTCCAACCTAAAAGATTCTGTGATTCTATGATTCTAGTGCAGACAAATCGGATCTTAAACATTGTTAATGTGTATGGGATTTTTAGAAAGATGTCTAGTCTTGGTAGCGAGGCAAAAGTCCAGTACTGATAGCTAGCATTTTCATCTCTCTAAGTCATTTGCATCTTGTCTTAGTTGAACATGTTCATCATTCATCATCTTCCTCCTTGCCCTCTAGTACTGGTTCATAGAATCATAGAATCATTTAGGTTGGAAAAGACCTTTAAGATCATCCAGTCCAACCATTAACCTACACCACCAAGTTCACACTAAACCAATCAAGGGTAGACTAGACTAAACCATGTCCCAGAGTGCCACATCTACCCTTTCTTTGAACGCTTCCAGGGATGGTGACTCCACCACCTCTCTGGGCAACCTGTTCCAGTGCTTGACTACCCTTTCCATGAAGAAATTTTTCCTAATTTCCAACCTAAACCTCCCCTGGTGCAGCTTGAGCCCATTTCCTCTTGTCCTATCGCTAACTACATGGGAGAAGAGACCAACACCCTCCTCGCTACAACCTCCTCTTCTCTAAGCTAAACAATCGCAGTTCCCTGAGCCGCTCCTCATAAGGCCTGTGCTCCAGACCCTTCACCAGCCTTGTTGCCATTCTCTGAACACGCTCCAGCACCTCAATGTCTTTTTTGTATTGAGGGGCCCAAAACTGGACACAGTATTCCAGGTGCAGCCTCACCAGCGCTGAGTACAGGGGGACATCAGTTCCCTGCTCCTGCTGGCCACACTATTCCTGATACAGGTTGTCCTATTCAGTTGTACCTGTCACAACAAACCAATTAAGATTGGGTTGTTTTTTTTTTTTTTTTAAGCTTTTTCTCAAATGCCCCAAGTATAGCAGTGTGCTCTTGGCTGATTTGCCAATTTGCTTTACTTCATTCTTAGTTACCTGTTGTAAATCACTTGAAAATTATCTGGGGGTTACAGGTTAGAAACCTGTAGGTGAGGTAGATTGTTTGGTACTCAGAAGACAGAAATAATCTTGCTGTTTGACTTCAACCAGGAGTAGGCAGCTAGGGAAATGAGACTTAGTCTAAGGTGTGGGGGAGGAACTGCTGCTGCATTAGTCCAACTCCTTTTCAGGACCCCCATTCATGTCCCTGGGTTTGGATGAAAGTACGCTTAGAAAAACGTGATGATGAATCAGCCTGGAAAGAAGTAAAGTTAGATCAATCAGGAATTGTTGGCTTTTTGAAGAGATTTCTGTGATATTGGGTGCCAAGTGGCCTGACTCACTGTTGAGTATCTTCCCCCAAATAACCTCAGTGTTGTAACAAATATGAACTCTGTGTAATGCAAGTAAAAGTGTACTGGATTGGTGAGGAGGTTTCAGGCGAGTTTTTCAGGTCATCTCATTGTATTTGAAGAGGGGAAAAATACTTCTTCCCTCTCTAAAAATCAGGCATTGCTTTTTTTGGAGCAAACTTTAGAAAATTAATTTTCATGCCTTCTTTTGTCTAAAGAGGTGCTGAATAATCAGTTCTTTGAGGATTTCTGAACATTGAGCAGAGGAGAATTTTACTTCTGTCATTGCAGGTGATGCTGGGCTGCACAAATAATCCTAGAAATTATTCTCATATCTAAAGAATGAAAAGTACGAAAAGAAGTGATGTGATTTATGTGAACACCTAGATTGGTAGGTCAGTTCACCCCCTCAGTTCAGTGGCAGTGAGTTGTCTAATCTAGTTGAGTTTTCTTGCAACCTTGTATCTGCAGGCCTGTAAATGTCTCTTAGGCTTGGCCATTACTCAGATACTTCGTAACATTGGCAAATGAAGGCGGGAAAATGCGTAAGTCCTTCACAAAGGTCTCTCCAGCCTACTTGAGTTTAAATAACATGCCAGCTTAAGCAAACTGAAAGGAATAAAGAAATAAAAGGCTGCTGGTACCTCTAAACAGCAATGGAATGAAATTGCTCCTGAAGATGCTGACTCCCACCCCTCCTCTGTCCATTAGTGTGCACTGTCTGCACAGCAGATTTTTCTCATTGTTCAGGGACCACCATGCTGGCTGACAACAGCAAGTGCCGAACAACATGGAGGGATGGTGGCTTTTGTAGGAAACTGTCTAATATTAAATATATAGGATTTCAGTTGTGTGCTTCCCTTTGGGACTGCTTATGCAAAACTGTTACAATAGCACCTTATTGGCTTTTGTGAAAATAGGAGCAGCTGCTGGATGCCTGGCTTATGTCAGAGGTGCTTTGTGGGTTGTATGGCTGAAGAACCAGTGCTGAGACCCTGCATTGACTTCTGTGGCCTTGCTCTTGGGTAATCTGTTGCATCCTCATGTGCTGGAGTAGGGTGTGGGGGAACTGGTGTCACTTCTACAGAGACAGTGGGCCCAGCTGGTTGTATTGGACTGCCTGTGTCTCTGTGTACTGTCAGATGAGTGCTTTCAAGGTGCTGGATTGAACCAAAATAGTCTCGTACTGAGATAATGTCACAGCTTGCAAATCCAGTTAAAGCAGAACTAGAAATGCTGACCAATTGGAGAGGGAGCATTGGTAGTAAAAGCACTTCTAACTTGTTACCCTGTCATGCAGGATAATGCTGTTAATGCTAGACAATTGTAACAGACTGGGAGTAATAGGGAATGGCAAAGGAGCTTAGTAGGAGTAAGGAAAGGCCAATGATCATATGGGGGAGAAGGTCTGAGGAAAGCGTGTGGTGGTTGCTGGGAATCGTAAAGAACATGAATTATTACCAGAGCATTTTTTATATTGAAAAAGGTTTTGGAAAATGAAAATTCATGTTGTAAAAAGAAGTTAAGGACAGTTTTCATGCTTTACATGTCAGTACTTTGTATGGCAGTGAATTAAGGAAGTTGTGATGTTTGAACTGTGATAGTGAACTTGAATATGCTTTGGCAGCAAATAACTAGAAAGCAATTCATGTTCATTTGTATTAGCAAAACTGTGGTATCTCTGGTAGGGGTATTTGTTTATTGTTGAAACTGTGAAGCTCTCTGTTGTACCTCTTGTGCTACTATCCTGTCAGCTCTCTTCCTGGAAACTGATACTAGCTGTTAAGTTGCAACAAAGTAGTTCTCGTAGTGTTTTTGACTTGTCATTCACTGTAAAATGGATGCTAAAATACATAGGGTCATGAAAGAAACCCTTGAAAAATATATTTCAGTGATTCAGTAATTGAGGATGCAGAACAATTGCATGACTTACTGAGCAAATCTTTCCGTGGCCTGAACTCAGAAGAGTGTACTGAGTAGGTACTGAGAAAAACATATAGTATTTCAGAGGATGTATAGGTTTTGCCAAGCATCAGCAGCCATGAATATGTATAGGAAGGATGAGGGTTACTGTTGAAATATGAGGACTTTTTTTTTTTTTACAGTGTAGGAGTTAATTTTTAGCTTAAGAAGGATAAATAGGTTAAAAATAAGTCAAATTGGAAATCTAGATGGAGTTTCTTTGGTATATTGAGGTTTTGTTCAGTGAACGTGTACGTGGGAAGGGAACAGATAGAAAAAACACAATTGCTGCATAAACTGGTAGTCCTGAAAAGATGTGTTCCACACTCCTGTTGGTGTATTACACTGAAGGGCTGAGATGCAGCTGGCTTTTGTTTGTTAATTGCAAAATGATATCAAGTGAAAAATGACTGTCTTGTATGAGTGTTTGGCTGGGGAAGAAGAGTGAATGAATAAAGATATGGTAGAGTTGTGGACTGAGAAAGTATAAGGACTCTATATATCAAAACCATGAGGAAGCTGTGTTTATTTCCTGCAGTTGTGTTTGTGCTGGTTGGACAATGACAAACAAAAGCTTGTGGAGCTGATCTGGTTGTCATAACAGATTAAATAACACTTAAATGAAGTTTAATTTTATTTTAAAACCAGAATTTCTTGTGTGTAACTTGTAACTTTAATTGTGGCTGGTGGGGTGTTTGGGATTTTGGGGGTGTGTGCTTTTTTTTGTGTGTGGGTTTTTTTGTTGGGTTTTGCTGCTTTTTTTTTTTAGACATGTAAGCATGGTCAACCATCTTAGGAACAAATCAAAAGAAGATATGAAATCTCTTCAGAAGTGCAACTGATGGCAGTTGGGATGATGATGTGGGCAAAGCAAGAAAAATACTCTTATAGTTTCTGTGTTTGTGGAAGGGAACGTGAGTTTTGCAGATTTGATGGTGAAATAAGGAAATACAGTTACAATGCTGAAACCATATGTATTTGTAAACCATGTGTGCATTAACTGAGAAGATGGCTGTGGTATTTATAGTAATGGAATTTGGATCAGGAGTAAAAGTTAACCTAAGATTGATACATGTGAATTCTTTTATAAGGATGGTGTTTTAGACACAGTGTGTCCTGTACTGCAGGAATGATAACTTCTTACCTTCTTGCTATACAGTGTGTTTTCCCCCAGAAAGGGAGAAATCATATGATTGAAAAGGAAAAGAGCCAACTGAATTTTAATCTGAGAATCAATCAGCTTCTCTAGTATAAACAGGTTAGCCATGTGTTCCTACTGCTGATGGCATGCTTTTTCTAATGTAGATGACATCCTTTTGGCATTGTTTTATGTTACACAGAAAAGGGCATTTAACTAACAAGAGAACCAGTGTGGAGTTACCTGTGGCATTTTCTCAGTGCTGCATATGTTCATACTTTGGGAATCACTTGCCTGACAAGATTTGTAGCTAGTTATGCTGGAGGCCTGATAGTAATTTTTTGAATTGGAAGCAATGTTCCTGGAAAGAAGATACTCTTGAATTCAAAAGTTACAGTGGGAAAGTCCAGGAAGTAAATGCGGCATAGATCTTGTGATAGAAGTAAGGAGGAGCCAAAAGTTTCTATGGTATTATCAATGTTTTCTTGAAATATTGAAGTCCCTTTAATCACCATAAAATACTCAACTTGATACTGTCCAAAAATATATTTGTTTGATTTTTTTAAAAAAATAAATTCCAAGTGGCTAGCCACAGAACTGGGTTTAAGCACTCTAGAATCTCTTTAAAATCTCTCCTGTTGTGGATTCTTTGTTGTACATAAGTCACTAAGCAGCTATATGTGGGCTGATTAACTGAAAATAACTAGTAAGAACCTGAAGAGGAGGCATTTTTTAATGACGTTACTCTAAGGGTTTTGATATCCTGCACACAAAGGAATAGCCTAGTTGTTACTGCACAGCAACAGTTAACATGCTTCTGCTAGTGCTGTCAGCATTCCCTGCTGACATCAGTGATATCTAAAGCAGTAAACAGAAAGCAGCCATGTCTGTTCTTCCTGTACTAGGGGGAATCAAAATAAAATGCTAGTGAGATGGAGAGCAGCGAAGCCGGTAAGAAACTTCAAACTATTCAGAAAAGTTGTTGACGTAGAAAAGTGACTCTGAAAATGTTTAAATGTTCAGGTAAATACAGCATTGTGTTTGCCGATCGTTCTGGAGAGAAGGATCCTGTTTGTAACTCATACAGCAATGCTTCAAAGTAATGTAGCATTTTATAGGAAAGAAATTAACTGTGTTACCTTTTTATTCAGGAGTCTCTTTGCTGTAGTTAATCAAGAATGACTGTATAACTTCTCAACAACTTGGCTTTTTTCTTAGAAAATAACAACAAAAAACCCTCAAAAATGTGAACTTCTGGATGCATTTTATTCTGAGTTACTGTTTTAATAGAAACTGAGCGATTGAGTCCTGACACTTGCTGTAGTCATTTGTAAATAAGTTCAGGTTAAGGCATTGACTTATACCCGTCCTAGAATAAATGTGAATATTGTTGCAATTATTTTTTAAGTATTAATATCCTAGAGGGCATTCTAAAATGAGACTTCAGTGCTTTCTAAAAGGCTATTACGAGGTTCATATAGTAGGTTGAAAATAACTTCACTTCTTCAAAAGATGTTTTAATTCTCAGAGAACTTAAATAGGCTCTTGTAAACACAGAGGATGGTATTTAAAATGTCAGTCAAAGCAAGCTATCTGGCATCAGAAGCTCCTTTTGGGGGAGAAAAGTGCCAGGGCAAGAAGTGATACATGCTGTAACTTTGTAAAGTGCATATATATGTGAACATTTCTTCCTCTAATGAGGTTTTGTATTGTAATGTGAATGTTAATGTATCATGGAAGAAATGAATACTACTCTCCCTTCCCTTCCAGACAATCGAAGGAAAGTAGAACCGCCTCTTGGAGGTCATGATCCTCGAACAGCAGTTCAGTTAAGAAGCCTCAGCACCGTTTTAAAGCGCCTCAAAGAAATCATGGAGGGGAAGAGCCAGGTACTTCTGAGGGATTTGTAGGCCAAGCTATCTAGAAACTGAACCGTTTACTGGGCTTCTCTGAGCTTCATTTTTAGATTGATCATGGGGATTTTTTCAGATGTTTGAAGGATGGGTGAATAAACTCAAAAATGATTGTGCAAGTGCAGGGGAAACAAGTTGATGCTGACTTTTGACATGTCAAACATCTGCCATATTGTGGGACTGAAACATTGCAATTGCTCAGCTTCTTGAACTTGGACCAGATGCTCTAAAGACTTTAGTCTTTAGACTCCTTCCCACTTCTGTATTACCTAATCTAGTATTACCTGATGGTTTTCTCCCTTGAAGGCTAACCATGGGCAAGTGAAACACATTGACTGTCACAAATAGTAATGAGAATTCTGAGGATGAATTAAATCTGCTACTTACTGTGGCAACTGTTGGTCAGCAATATTTGCTTGAAAGGCTTGTCCTGTTAATCAATTTTGATTCAGCTGAATAAGGGTCTGGTGGTTGCTATTGAATTGCTGATTTCACCTTCCTCTGCTGTGTTGGATGATGCCTTTAAGAGGAGGGTCTAGTTGGGAAAAGAAGCCAAAACTATTTATAAGTGGTGATATAAATAGCTGTGTCTGTGAGCAAGACACGAGCAGGCAAAAGTACGTTTAATTAAACTGAATGAAGAGGAGGCTTTTGGCTTGGTAGCTTTTACAGGTAGACTTTGAGTAAACTCACTTAGCTTCCAGTGCTATCCTGCTTGTAAGAGTAACTTTGCTTTGGTAAAAAGGGCGATATTTTTTAGGGTGAAACAAAAGCCTTTCATTGCAGTAAGCGGGGCATTGAGTGTGACCCCTACTAATATTTCAGTCTGTGGCAGCTTCTGAAGGCCCTGGAGATTTTCAGACATCTTTGAAGCTATTGGAGAAGTACTCAAACAGACAGGATGCAGCAGTTTTTCAGACATCTTTGAAGCTATCAGAGAAGTACTCAAACAGACAGGATGCAGCAGTAAATGAATATGTCTAGATCTTTCTCTGAAAGCAGTATATTAGTTGTCAGCATGCTGACTTCTGTACAAATGGTGATGCATCACTGCCCTTGACTGCAGCCATGTCTTGCTTGTGTCACTCCAGGCAACAATTTCTTCCTACTGTGGACTTGGCCTGTCTCTACAGGAAGACCACTTTACTGTTGTAGAAAGCATGTGTCAGATCCTGGAAGGTGCTGCTCTAATCAACCTCTACTGCTAACAGGGGCCAGACTTCTCTTCTGAACCCTTCCTTGTAGGCTGTTCTTGTCATGAGTGTTGGCTCTGACTTGAGCAAGGCAGAGAGCTGGAAGGTGTCACCAGCAATGGCTGGGTTTCTAACACCCAGTAATGTGCAAGTGGGGCAGAGGCAATGTGGGAGAGATGGTGGGCAGAGGCACTGCTGCTTGGAACAGCCACTCTCTATGTGGCAGAACCAGATTTGGCTTATCATGCAGAGCCGCAGCAAAAACTGTTAATTGGCATCCCCTGCAGCTTTGCAGCAGTTCCTTGGCAAAGCTCTTCACTGCATCTTTCCCTGCTTGAAGCTTCAGGTTCATCTTAAAAATTTCTAGATGCTCTTGAACACTGGACTGCCTTGAGCAGTCTTTGACCTCTCTCTGTATGAGTTTTCTTGGGTGAGGACAACATGAAATTGTTGTCTTGTTGATCATAGCTGTTTTGGTCTCAAAATTGGTCTAGCAGCTATGTCAAACTTTACTTTGTGAACATCCAAAAATAAACCACAATTCAGGGTATGCTTTTTTTTTTGGTTATGTGAAAATCAGAGTATGGATCACCTTTCTTCACTGTGGTTACTCTCTTGTGGGGTTGTTTTGAGAAAATTCTTGCAGCACTTTCTCTTCCTAATAAAAACCCAGAGTATTCAGTCGCTCTGAACAGGCTTATTGCCAGAACTGAACTCTAGCAAAGAGCGTTTCACAGTCAGAGCTGACCTGTTACCACTAGCAGTTGTCACCATCCATGGTAATTGTAGCTGGCATGCTCAGAATCATAATTCGGAGATTTGTCTTGCTCTGTTTATAGCTACAACACCAAGTGGAAGTTTTAACTCTTTGTTTTCAAGTCTTAAAAACAAGACAAAAACTCCTGTGGCTGCACCCATGCTGTAAATCAGTATGTGTCATTATCTGCTGAATGTGTATTCCACAGTTGTCTTCACATAGCAGTTAACCTGGAGTTTTGAAACAACATCAGTCTGGGACACAGACTTTTACAACTGTTTACTGAGGTTTTGAATAATTTGATCATATAATGGAACTTTTTACACGTATCTGTAATCCTTTCAAAGTATGTCCCAGTATTAGCTGTTGAAATGATCCTCCTGCACTGATAATTCCTGATAACTTGATCTACCCCTGGATAACAGCCTCAAGTAATGTGTGGCGTGGGGGGTTTTTGGGGTTTTTTTTGTTTTCTTTTGTTTTTTGTTTTTTAAACTGTGCTAGTTGAGGGCCTGTCATGCTAGGGGCAAATGAAAGGGAAGAGCAATCAGTACTTCATATGTCTGTTTCTTCTTGACCTTTATCTACAGCTCGTAATAGTTTTTATCTGCTTTGCTTCCATCTTGGATCAAGTAGGTAAAAGTTTACTAGATTTATTCTCACAGTTGAGAACTCTCTCGGCCTTCTAGCTCCCTATAAAACCACATGAAAAATACTTTCTGTGCTTATACACAAGAATGTGTACACACACACATATATGAATGTACAAAATTGTCCTTTTCATGTGCATAGTCTACAAAGCAATCATTAATCTAAACATGCTTTTTTTTAATTTACAAAAAAAAGTTTTTCTCTGCTGCCTTCCCTTGTAGGACAGTGACTTGAAGCAGTACTGGATGCCTGACAGCCAGTGTAAAGAGTGCTATGACTGCAGTGAGAAATTCACCACCTTCCGGCGGAGGCACCACTGTCGACTTTGTGGGCAGATCTTCTGTAGTCGATGCTGCAATCAGGAAATCCCTGGAAAATTCATGGGCTACACAGGTAGGGTTTATTTGTTGAGAAGCAGAACATTGTGTGCTCAGCTCTGTTTGGACTACTGCATTTTAGATTCTGGCATCTGCTAGAGAATGCTGTACAGGTCTTTAGTGGGCTTAGAAATAAGCAAAAAGAATCACAGGTCCTAACTCTACCAATTTCTTCATGCACAGTGGTGGATTATGCCATGCCTGCTTATTTTTACCAACACTATGTCCATGATAACAAAACAAATATGGCCACTGTTTAACAAGGATGTTCGCAAAAAGTGTGCTCAAGTAAAAGCTGCTCTTAGTAATGGTAGTTTTAAAATGTAATGAGCCACATGTTCTAATTGAGGGTGAGGGAAACTCTTTCAAATACCAGTTACCAAACTCTAGACATCTCCTGATGGAGGTAATGATTTCCAGACATCAGCTGGTATGTCTTATCTGACTAGCTATTGTTGTACCATGATTTCAGTGTGTACACGTGCTCTCTCTCTTCCCGCCCCCACAACCTGTCTCTCTTACTGATCATGTGTTATGTGTCACTGGACTTGGAGAAATTCCCTGAGTGTATAATTATCTGGGGTTTTGCTCTTCCAGGGAATATGAGAACTAGACTTAAACATGCAAAGAGGTTTTGAAACAGGAAATCCTTCTTTTCCCACCACTACACACTTCTGATCCTGTAGGAACAGAGTACTATTTGTTCCTGTTCACTAACACTCTCTGGTTCCCCTTTCCATAGGGGATCTCCGAGCCTGCACTTACTGCCGCAAAATAGCCTTAAGCTATGCACACTCCACAGACAGTAACTCCATTGGAGAAGACTTAAATGCTCTGTCAGATTCTGCATGTTCTGTATCGGTGCTGGATCCTGGTGAGCCACGCACACCAGTTGGGAGCCGTAAAGCTAGCCGCAACATCTTTCTGGAGGAGGATCTAACCTGGCAAAGGTAAAGTGAATGGCTTCATGCTGAGCTCCAGAATCTTAACTGTGTTTTCAGGATGACACCTGCCTAGACAAAAGCTGGTGGTTTCCATCTAGGAAACTTAGAAGTGTATCTCCTGTAAAAATAATCTAATCCTGTGTTTGCTTCTAATAGTCTTCTCTTCAAGTTGAAATGTGAAAACTTTTCTAGTGGAGTTTTAAATTATTTGCAGTTCTTCCTTTAACCTGTTGAATTAGTGTTTCTATACCAGTGTCAGAGCAGGCTTTTAGCTTCAGAGTTTAAAAAGACAAAACTAAAAAACATCCCTTCGAACCACCAATGTATTCAGAGGCAAGTCAATGTAACACTGATGCTTTACCTGTCAGGTTTTGGATTGGGCAAGAGAATATAAGAGATTGTGTCTGTGTAGATAAGAGTGAAATGGTGGAAGTAACCACCTCTTTCAACTGAAGTGGGATTGAAAGAACAGCTATAAAGGTTCTCTGATCTCCTTTCAAACTGTATTTCTTCTTATTGTTCTTGAATGAGGGGATCTTTATTTTTGGAAGATGAATAAAAGAACACTGTACTTCTCAAGTGGTGTGAGAGTTAATTTCTGAGGACCTTGATTTAATTTAATGTGGGGGGAGGAAGAAATAATCAGATGTGGTGTTTGTGCTCATTTCCCTAAAAACAGAAGAACAGGCAGGTGTGAAACTACTGAGAAGGTTTTGAGGCAGAGCCTTTCTTTAACGGAGGGGTAGTGTTAGCAACATGTGCCTCTCTCAGCAGATCTCCTGTAGTGGTTCTGATAGCATTAAAAGAAAAACCTCAAAACAACTGTCTTCAGAAAATGCCCTGGCTCTTGCTCTGCATGTCGCTTTTCAGAGTGTGGTGCTCCTATGGAAGCAATTAAATAATCAGCTTTAGGCCTAAATAAAGGAAAGTACTTTTGGTTTAATGTCATGGTCATCTAAAGCAGTAATGTTGCAATACTTGGGATAAATACTACCAAATTTTGAATTAGGAAATAAGTATGTGCGCTCGGAATGCTTCTCTTCAGGTGTACAAAATAACAGAAGGTATCATTAGTTCTGTCTTCTGATGTGTTATTACTATCTTTATTATGGCAATTCAACAGCTTTTAGACATGAACATGTAAAGAAAGTATTTATATCTTTATTTTGGGCAGCTTGTAGCACTTGAGAAAAATACTGCCTATTTTTGAAAGGCTGATAACTCTTTCTGTACTGGAACACTTAGTCTTGTTGGGAGACACTGAGTAAACATGGGCTGCTTTTGTGTGTGAGAGGGAGACAGATTGAGATTAGGTAGTTTATTGCTGCTTTGGGAGGGTTAAAATTTTCTTCAGTGCTTGTTGCTTTTAAAATGTAAAGCTTTGCAGTGGGCTACAGCACTTTTTTTCGTACTGCATTTGGTAAGTTGCTGATTGACCTTCAGAGGTTTAAATGCAAGACATTGAACTTAAACGGCACCACAGTGGAAAGTTGCAACTCACAGCTTTGTAACAGAAGCAAAGTTGTGGTTTATTTCTTTTTCTTTTCCTAATATGTGGCTTCTGTGTGAGAAGTAGTTTGCATCAGAAGAAAACTTGGGAGTTGAGTCTCTTCTCAAAATAATGTATCTGAGATAAGGCTCTTGCCTCTCCTGCTGTCATATGCTGCAAAGCAGTGAGAAAAGTATTTAGGGGAGTGATGCTGTATTTACTTGTCTGAAGTTGCTCTGCTCTTTGAGCAGTTGGAACATAGAGGCATGGCCTCCTGCTTTAACTAACTTGAAGGGCCATGTCCTTTAAAAGTGAGGAGTGGTGTACTCTGGGCAAGTACAGCTACTCAGGCAAAGTTGTATTGTGTATGTTTTCTCATGAAGAACGTTTACCGTGCTAGTAACATGTCTACATCCCAGAGCACAGCCAGTATGGCTGTATCAGTTGGAATGTAGTGGCTTATACAGTTTTGCCAGTAGGAATTTGTATTGATGGTGTATGAACATCTGCTCTCCTTCCTCCTGGGGTGGAAGGAAAAGGATGGCAAAAGTGATAGTGATCATGTTAAACAATTACAGAAGGTTGTCAGGCTATCTTCATAAAAGCTGTCTAGCAATAGCTATAGATAGCATTGCTTGGATTGCAAAGATGATGTGTTGGGGAGATGGGGGCAATGCCTCTACCTCCAAAGCACTGAATAGCAGTGTGTAAGGAAGGAGGATGCGTAAGAAGGGGATATAGGGGAAGAGGGCAGGAAGGCAGGATAATACGAGAAGTGGGAAGAGGCTGTATTGTCCAAGGCTTGAGTCTGAAAGGAGAAGACTTGAGCACTGTCCTCCAGATATCATTGGCCTACAGATGGGGAAAGACTTCCTTATCATTCCCTCACTGATTTAACAGTCATGGGTGTGAAGGAGAGGTAACATTATAATTAACTGTATTTTAATTCCAGCTGTTCTGATGCTGCTGCATGTGGCAAATCTCTCAAACATCTGTAACATGCTCCTTTTCCTTGCAGTTTGATTCACCCAGACTCTTCAACTACCACGTTGTCTGCACGCCTTGGGTCTGTCCAGGAGGATGCAGGGAAGTCACCAGCTAGGAACAGGTAAACTGATCATGTCTGAGTATTTTCTGTTCTGGATGCACTCCTAGCACACTCTTCACTGTAAAGCCTGTATTTCGGGGCTTGTTTTTACTGAGCATGCTGTTTCATGTCTAAAATGGGACACCCCATTACCCATATGTAATGGTAAGGAAAGACCATTTATGTACATATTCATATTAATAAATGTACTACTTTTGAGGAACCTGTAGTTTGCTGCTGGGTCAGTCAAGTAGAGGTGGTGGTGAAAAGGACAGAAAGGGAAAGAAGTGGCTAAGAAAGGCAGAGTTCTGAGGAAGCAGAAGAAAAGGGAGTAAGAGAGACTCAGTAATGGGAGGCAAAGACTGAGATCATGGAGGAGCAGAGGTGTAGTTTTTATTTGTTTGCTCTGTGGTTTGTTTTTTCCCCCCACCCCTCTATCTGCTCCCTCTGCTCTTCCATTAAGTATAATCTTGTTTAAGTTACCAGGCTTCCTTAGGCTAAAATCCTGTCATAGGTCTTTATGCAAGAGCGTTGGAATGAACTTGGAAATGTACATGAGAGCTTTAGTATAAGTTGTGAATGCTTGAGCTTAATCCCACTAAATAGACTGGTATTAGAAGAACAAGTAATTTCCAATTCACAGTGCTTCTGCTATAGTTCTTGTTACATACTTCCATTATGGTTAAATTGGGGAAATAAAGGTGAGGCAAGGATATGAGGAGCAGAGCAAAGATAATCCAGATTTCAGTGTTGGAGTCAGGAGACATTCAGAGACTTATCTGCATTGGTGTTACAGGAATGCAGAACGTTTAGCAATTTGGAGGGATCTGACAGGACTAGTGAAGACTAGGGAGCTCAGCTGAGAAGGATGCTGGACATGCCTTTTTACTTGGAGTCTTTATCTTCTGTGTGGTGGGGACAATTAGGAAGAGATGCACACTGACTATACAGATGAGAACCAAAGATCTCACCTAGGGGGAGCAAAATAGTGGTGAATAAACTAGGATCAAAAATCAATTCTGGGCAAACACGGCAAGGAGTCCAGAGTTAAAAGTTCAATGCTAAATAACTGCAGTGACGTCAAGAAATGTCTGAAACCTTGAGGATGCTCTCCTGCTTCCTGTTTGAATTGACGTTGTCTATTTTAAAAGGCCTTTGCTGTTTGCTCACACATGCAGTAGTAGGAGGGTTTCAAGCTGGACCTAGCAGGCCCAAAGTGCTCATTCAAGTTAAATTTTAACCCTGGCTATTCATGGCCTCACCATAGTAGTTGCCTGTCCGGACTCTTGTTTGAGAAGTAAAGATGCGGTATAACCTCTCTCTGTCAAAATTCTGAACCTGTGGAAACAAAGCTATTGGTTTCAGGCTAAGCAATGCTAGCCTTTAGATCCTCTCAAAGCAGCTCTAGATGTTTCTTTGAGGCAAGCTTGACCATGCCACTTTCTAGATGAGATGAAGCAAAAAAGACACAGGTTGAGTGCATTTAGATGCAGGTAGCAGAAATTACTTAGTATTATTTGTTTTCCCTGTGGGTGGGGGACGTGTTGTTTTTTTCTCAGACTGATTATTTATGGGGAAAAAACCAGCACAACAGTCAGATGTTGCAAGTGGAGGGATTCGAACTTCTCCTTTGCAGGCCCTTCTAAAGGATAGGGATTTTCATTGCAAAATCTCCCTCTCTGTTTTTAGAAAAGACAAATGCAATAGTATTTAATTAGTGATGATAAAGACACAGATATGAAATCTGACTGTTCTAACTCTTGCTTAATGCCCTTTTACACAAATTAAAAATCCCTGCTGCTTAGAGGTAGGTGGCACAGTTAAAGTAGCTGGTGCAAAACAACTGGGAGGAGTGCTTAATGATGGACTTTCATGTCAGTCTCATCTTCCACAGAATAATGCTTTCTGTTAAGCTGCATAACTCTGCCAGTTCTAGCTTTGTTTAACTTGAGAGCATTTGAACAGTAGAAGACTGGCAGGAGTTTAGCCTGCCTTGAATGCCTGACTATGACAGGAAGTTTTTGCTTTATCACCCGTAAATGTATATGGATGTAGTGCCAACATAGTTTCCTTTGATTCTGCATAAATGACTAAAAAGGACCTAACTAAAACCCTTTATCAGCCCAGTGTTCCTCCTCAAGAGACAGAGGAGAAAAAGCAGTTATTTTGAGACTATTGTACCTTCAGTGTCTACTTCCTTGTAGTACAAAAGCTGAAATAGGGTAGCATTGCTATTTCGTGCCTGGGCTCAGCCACATCATCCACTGAGAATTCTTGGGAATAGTTAGTGTCTGTTAGCCAGTTAGCAAGCTCTGTGAAGTTATCCGAGTTTCATTGCAAAGACTAGAGGCTGGCAACAGTTCTCATCACCGAGAGTCAGTTCAGTTCTCATCAGCCTCTTGAGTCAGTTCAGCCTTGGCATTTTGAGCTTCCTCGTTGCTGTGTGCAGACACATTTTCCATCTTCACTCCTTAGAGCCCTGTTAGCATGAATAGCTTACACTGCATGCTTTTTGCTGCTGCTTGATGAGAAGTTGCACTCTGGTTATTCAGAGGCTTAGTCTAGTTGTGGGATATTGGAACAGAGGGTATCTGGAACTTGTATTTGCATTTGTAGCTTTGCAATGATTATTGCAAAATGGTGTGTTTGTTCTGGAGTGCATAGCCAAGATTTCCTAACAGCTGGGCTGAGATCAGGTGGATGCTCCATGTTGCAGTACAAGGAAAACTGCCAGCTGGAGTGACGTCCAGCTTCAGCAGACAGTTTAGCTGCCCTAGGGAACAGGTGCTCAAACTTCCAGAGTCTGCAAACTGTCAGCCATGTATTTCGGAGAGCTGAGGAGAAGGAATTTTAAACGGGTCAAGGAGAGGGGGAATCTCAGTACCCTGTTACAGGGATCCTGGTGCTGGCTGCCCTTGCTGGCGTCTCTCTTTGTCCCCATACTGCTGGAGCTTCTAATTACCCATCATCCCATTGCTTCCCCAGTCTATTCAAATGCAGACATATGTGAATTGCTGTGCCTAAACTTGGTTCTAACTGCTTCCTATGAAGAGCTTTACCAAAGTTTATGTTTACCATAGGTGTTCCAAAGCAATGCACTTGCTTCCTAGGGACCTTTCTTCTGTTTTGATGGGGGAGGAAACTTTAAGCAGTAAGTCTGTACTGAGGAGAGTGAACAATGTTACAGGCTTAAGTTCCTTCTTAGCATGCTACACGATCAATGCCTGCTCTGGTGAAGCACTGCACAATGAACGCTTATACTTCAATTCTTCTCTCTTCCACTGCAGATCAGCCAGCATCACTAACCTGTCACTGGATCGGTCAGGTTCACCAATGGTGCCTGCCTATGAGACATCTGTCAGCCCCCAGGCCAGTCGCACACATATGAAGGGAGAGACAAGCGAGGATGAGCGCAAAATCCTTCTGGTACCTTTCAGACTTCTGTTTGTCTTGCTCTGTGAAGGCAATGAAGTTTGCCTTTCTTGTATCATGCAGCACGAGTATCTTGCTGCCTTTAAAGGCTCTTGTCTGAGCATTCTTACCTGAACCCCTCCTCCAGGTGATGCAGGGATGGAGAATATTGATGCTGCTTTGGACACTTCCATCTTCCTGAAACAAATCATAGTTTCATGTGGAGTTTGCATAAAGGTGTTTAGAGTTTTAGTCTTGGGAAGTGTGTTACGCAGTGTGGAGTTGGTGTGTGGTGGCTCCCTGTGGGTTAAACCTGTCATGGTTGCAGCTGTAACGCTATGACCTGATTCTGTATTTCTCCAAGTTCAGATTTTCCCTTTCATAGGCCACATAATCAGAAACTTTAAACGGCTGCTTCAAAATGGTTACACCATGATGAATGAGTTCAAGCTGTTACAGTTTATTGGGCCAAAACACAACTTGGTCCCTCCCCTTGTTTGCAGGATAGATGTAACATTTTGTAGAAGGCTGTAGTGACGTACTTGTTCGAAGAAAAATCAATGTGCAACAGTGTTCTGTGTAATCCTATTATCCCCTCCCCACAGAGGCAGTGTTGTAGGTGGCAGTTACTGTACAATGTTCAGTAGAAAACAGTGTTTCTTTTCTTTGAGGGAGGGGAAGTGTTTCCAGCAAATGGGGCAAAAAAGATGCAGAGAAGGGAAGGGAGTGTTTGTCACACTAAAAGATTCAAGATTGTTCCCCATTGCCAATTTAAAATCAGGAAGGCTAATTTCTGTGTTGTCAGGTATTTGCATGCTGTCAGCAAAATGCATACAAGTATTCCTGAGGATGCAGAAACACTCTAGTTCCTGTTCAGTTGCACAACTCCTTTCCAGGGTGCTCTGTAAATGGATAACCATGTGAAGGAGAAACATTTTTAAAGCACGTCTTTACACCACCCTGCCCCGTGTATGTTAATGCAGGAAAAATGAAATTTAAAATGCTGTGAACACAACTTGGACCAAGATGATCCACTTCACACTGTTTAATTTTTTGTCTATTTCCTTCCTTTGGGGAGAAGATTGGTAGTATTGCTTCTGTTCAAGTAAGAGCAGAAGATGCAGTGACAATTAATGTAGGATTTTCTGTGAATTCCCAGTGTTTGTTTAATGCCCTTAGCATGTGGAGCTGACTCTATGTTGGAAGTGAATTTAAAGCTTAACATATCCCATTCAGAAGACTAATGAACTTTGCTCATGAAATAAAAGGTAGGGGAGGATGTACGTACAGTGGGGTAAGCACATACTTCTGTGAACTAGAGGTCAAAATCCTTGAGTTGAAAGGATTTTCTGTGTTCTGCCAGTTCATCCAGCTTACTGAATTCACTAGGTGAGTTAAGGGTAAACTACAAGGCAGCTTAACTGTGGAATCACCAGTTGCATCAAATCTTGTGATCTTATGATGTGTTACGTTACTGGTCCATTTGGCTCTATACCTGGTACAGAAGGGGAGCTGCTGACACTGGTTTTAGGATAATAGCCAGGACAGCCACTGCTGGAAAAAAAATCAGAAAGCCAGTCCAGTTAACAGAAGTGGAGAAAAACTCTTGGATCTCAGGGCATCCATGGGAAAGTGCAATAATGTGGGTCTGGGAGTTAACTGGAAAGCTGAAACCAGTTAAAATTTAATTAAAGCTTTTTTTCCTTCTGTTACTCAAAAATAATGAGTGAAGCATTTGCAAAATTGAGATGCAATGTCTCTTCCCACCCCTTGGGGTGCTCTGTTGTGCTCTCAAAATAATCCCAGGTCCCAGTTTCCACTCTGCAACAATGGATTGTGCTGTGCCAAGCCAGGGTGCGTATGGCAAAGCAAAAGGGGCCAGGTGCAGAGCGACAGCTCAGTTTGCGTGGCGCATAGCCTATGCAAGAGTTGGCTCACATGCTTCACAGGCCTGAAAATAAGTTCAAGGTGTAGGCTAAAGTATTCCAAGTGGTGACAGGAAGAGATCCACAGATTCAAAAATGGTTAATTGGGTTGGGAGGGGAACACACCTTTTTTGCTTAGTGGCCAAAGCTAGCAGTGTCTATAAAAGGCTTGATACTGGACAATAGAAAAGGAATCCTTAATAAGAAATGGTATCCCAGAACTTGAACATAGCAGCGTGCATTGCTGTGTCAAGTACTTGCTTTATATCTGGGCTTGATAACAGACTAGAATGCTTCACAAAGCCTAGGTTGAGCACAGATTATATAGAAAAACCCTCTTCCAAAGGATGCATTTTCATTGTCCCCTATATTTACACACACCACCTGACTTCGAGAATAGGGTGCAAGAGGGCAGTAGTGAGGATATAAGTATCTTGTAGGCAGTACAAGATCTTGCCACATTAAAAACAAAAACCCCTTAACTCTGAGGGTACCAACTTTGTTTCTTCTTTGTTCGCAACTTTATATAAAGAAAGGATATAAGGAGCTGATCTCATGTCTGTTTGCTGTTTCTGTTTGCACCTTTGCATAGGTTGTGCAGAACAGCTTAGATTTTATGCCTGTTTGTGGAGGGCTCTTGATGTAGAAGCTGATCTGAGGGCTGATGCAGGTTGATGCCCATGAGACAAGTGCTAAGGTCAGACTAGTAAGTAACTTGCACATCTCCCTGTTCAGGACTCAGTCCAGCTGAAAGATCTGTGGAAGAAAATCTGCCATCACAACAGTGGGATGGAGTTTCAGGACCATCGCTACTGGCTGCGGACGCATCCCAACTGCATTGTGGGAAAAGAGCTGGTCAACTGGCTCATCAGAAATGGGCACATAACCACAAGGTAACCCTGATGCTTTAGGACAGCAGGTGTCTCCTGTCTCTGTGACAGGAGGTTGTGAGTTTTAGCTGGTACAGGGTACCTTAGACTGCAGAGATAGACCCCTTTGCAGGGAGATGAGAAAGAAAGAAAATTCAGATCTTTTCTTTACTGCCTACCAAAGCAGGTAGGGTTTTGACTCCTTGTGGCCCAAAACAACAGGGCACAGGGGGCTGTCTGTTTTGGGAGCTGGTGTGGGAGGCAGCTTATGGGACAAGTATCACTTAAACAGTTGGAAAACAGTGAGTGTATTACAAAGACTGTCCAAAAATGTTCACTGATACTCCAAAGGGCAAGTCTGCCTCTGGGATCAGAGATCACTAATAGTGTTTGATAGCTAAATTTTTGGTGGGTCTGGTAGGCTCTTAACCTTGTAAATGAGTATAAAGAATCTGGTGTATTTAACTATGCGAAAGGGGGATAAAACTGAGATGGTTCTTAAGTGTAGAGCAACAGTCCCCACTCAGCAGATGTATATGTATATGTATATATAACTCAAGCTAACAATATTGGAGGAGCACAAAAAATATGTCTTAATTGCCTGTTGGACACCCCAGCTGAGTTTAGAGTATTGGCAGTCTCTTCACCTACCTCCATACTTGAACCAGTACACTCTGCTGCCTCTCCACAGTATTTTAAATAGCGTCTGGTTAAACATGGCAATGGGATACTGATGAGTCAGTGTGTAGCAAATGACTCTTTTCTAGCATGCTTGTACCATAAACCATGTGTGTTTAGAACTAGACTTAGAAAACCATCTCTATTCTTATACCTCCAGGGTCCAAGCCATTGCAATAGGACAAGCGTTGGTTGATGGACGCTGGCTAGAATGTGTCAGTCATCATGATCAGCTCTTCAGAGATGAGTACGCTCTCTACAGACCGTTACAGGTAAAAGAAGTAGGAAAGCTATGGTTCTTGCTGGGTTTGGTGTCTGACTGGAATCTTTTCTGATCCTGTTCTCAGCAGCTGTTTTATGTTTTCTAAATCAGCTCTTCTGTACAGAGAATTGGTGTCCAGGCCTTTTTCCTTAGTGGTTTAAAGCCTGAGGAAGCTGCATTTGCCCAGAAAACTTTGGGGCTGTCCTCTGTGGATTGAGTTGTTACACGTAGTGCTGCCTAAAATGGAGAAAAGGGTCTCTAATCTAGGCCAGTGCCTCTCATGGTGGACATATTCCATGGAGGCCTTGGAATGGCACAGTCTGTGCTTGTGGCAGCTGTGCTATCATGTGTAGAATCTAGAATCTGTGTGCAATTATTGGTGACTGAGACACAATGGTGGTCTTCTGTTTCAAAATTCCTTCTTTAAAAACTTCCAAAGAATGGATATTTTAGATATACAGTATTGGATCTTCTTATATATTGTATTGGTAACCTTCTGATCTCCAGTGATGACAGTAATAAAGAATTCAGTACCTTAGCCACATGATGCAAGACTGGGAGGAGGTCTTTGTCATGCCTCTCAAGTAGGACTGGCTAGCTGAAAGGGAGGCAGGGAGCCAGTGACCAAAGATGCTATCCTACTGTATTTCATTGCAATCAAACTTGCTGAGGGGTAAGAGCAGTCACTGGCCTGAGTGATTGGATTGGTTTTTTTAACTTGAATAAGACATCTCTGTAGCCTCTCTGTTATCTGAAAGCATTCAGTTGAAAGTCTTCCATGTTCTGCAGTGTCTCACAATAAAGAATGGTTCAGCTGTCCCATGGACTTCAGTCAGAAAGCTTGTAGCCATTAGCATCTTGTCTTCCTTGTGTATTTCAGCTTTTGGCCACAGTCACGTGGTCTTCCACTGAGATTGCTCTGGGCTTCATCTGGCATCTCAGCTAGTTGACTGCAGTGTCTCAGTTTGCTAGTAAAAGCTTGCCCTTCACTAGCAAGTGCTTGTGGATCCCTGTTTGTTATTTGTAAGGGGCTTATATTACTCAAGGTTTAAAGCTAATTCTTGTTCTCATCAGCTGAAAGCACTGTCTGATCTCATTTCTCCTGGACAAAGAGTCAGGAGAAACAGTGTTGTTGAGTCCAATTGCGTGTTGCACTTACTGTCGCCAAAGGAATGATAGTGAGAACTTCCTCCTGAGGTGACTGGAGGCATCAGGATGGCTGATGGAAATTGCTTAGATGCTTTCCAGGTTCTCTGGCACTCTAGCCAGGCTTTGTTTTGACACAGTAGCCTCAGCTAGAGCCTGACTTGTGAGTGAAACTCTTAGAGCTACTTTGGTCAGTCACAGAATTGCTCCAGTAACTTAGAATTAGCCTCTACCAAAAGCTGCATGTGCTGGTTTCTGGGCAAGGGATATGGTCATCATCCACCTTGGCTGGGGATAGGAAGCATTCAAAACTGCTTAGCTGGATGTGGTGACAAAAAATGTGCAGTAGAATAAACTTGTCTTTTAGTGCCACTTAGTCACAACTTGCATGGAGGTGGGGAGGAGGCAGAGACTAAGCACGTGGGGAAGTGTAAAGAAATATTTGTTTCCTGTCCCAAAGAGTTCCTATTTCATGCCAAGGGGGGTGGCTCTATGACTAACCTGGCTCAGCCCACTAAGAGTATCGTCTGATTTTTAAAATGTCTGATCTGCTTTTGTAGCAGGCTGCTTTCTAAGGCTGCTTAATATTTCAGCAGAGCTGCACTTCAACACCTTTTTTTCTTCCTTGTTTTTTAGAGCACAGAGTTCTCAGAAACCCCATCTCCAGACAGTGACTCTGTGAACTCTGTAGAGGGGCACTCTGAGCCATCCTGGTTCAAAGACATCAAGTTTGATGACAGTGACACAGAGCAGATGGCTGATGAAGGAGAAGATAACTTAGCCAGTGAGTTTCACCTGAGTCTTGTTCTCACTCTGTCTTCTCCACTGTTATCCCCAGTCCTTCAGGACATAGTAGTTTAACCATGTCTTGCTTTATGTGTGTGTGTGTTTGTGTGTGTGCGCACGGGGCCGTAAGGATCTAAGCAAACTATAACGTAGCTAGTCCTCCTGTTTCTTATGATGGATACAGTATTTTGTATTTAGTGGAACTGGCAAAGCTTCATACTTCTAATGGAGGAGAAGCATGTAAATTGCTGCCTTCTGTTTCTCAGGCAGACTTCTGCTTGATTGGGCCCTATAGTACCGCACTAAAGAATGTCCAATATGTCAGCACACACACTTATCTTAAGAAGATAAGTTAGAACTATGAAAATACTGTATTCCTGTAGTATTGCACACTGGTCTTTATGTATTAAAGACAATTTTTCTCCTCTCTGGTACCCTCATGATACCCATTTGAACCCTTCTCCTCCCTGTATCTTCCACCTTACCCAACACTAAAAGACTCCGCCAGCCCTAGCAAGCGCACTTCAGTCAGCAGCTTCCAGTCCACAATGGACAGTGATTCAGCCGCCTCCATCAGCCTGAACGTGGAGCTGGACAACGTGAACTTCCATATCAAGAAGCACTCCAAGTACCCACATGTGCCCCCTCACCCTGCCGACCAAAAAGGTATGAGGTAGTCACCAGCTGGAGTTGCACATGATGGAGAGCTGGGCCCTAATAATACTGACCTATTTGGACACTACTTTTGTAGCTGTCTTACAGAGGGGGAAATATGATATTTAGCTGGCACTCCGTTGCAGTTTTGATATGCTCACCTCTGAGGAGGCTCAGTAAACCTGTTGAAACACCTTCTCTGCAGAGTGTGTAACTTCCCCTGTGACTTTCTCTTTGCAGTTCAAGCAAAGTCTCCTGCCCGTACATAATAGGGTAGATCCATGTATACAGTTTCTGGCTAACTGGGGTGGAAGAACAGTCTGTGCATAAACCAGTTTGATATGTGTCTCTACAGTTTGAGATTAAACTGGAAAACCAAGCAAGAAAAAAAAATCCCAAACAACAAATGAACAAAATTAACTTGGAAGAGCTCTGTGCTGACTTCTAATTGTACCTTAATAAGCTTACATTTGACAGAAGAATCTTACTGCTGAGCAGTAGGGCCTAACTTAATCCATATATATAACATTTGTTCAAAAGAGAACATCTACTTAAGTGAAGTAGGAAAAAATCAAATACTCAGTGTTGAAGACTTCTTTTGAAAGTTTTTTTTTTTTTTTTCTCCTAAATAAGTACTAAATTGCAAGACTCTATATACTAAATTGCAAGACAACTATATAAGCAAAATGCTTATGGAAAAAAATAATGTCCCTGCCTGCTAACAACTGCATTCTTCAAATTGGACAAGGGCTGACTGAAACCAGGGCTTGCCACTGGCTTGGGTCTAGGATATTCTAGTTGCTTTACATGCTGGGTAGCAATTGATGTCTTTGCTGTGCTTCCTTACCTAAGGTTACATCAGCTTTATAGACTTCTATCTTTGGCTGCTTCTAAAGAATTTCTTATTCTCAATTATTGTTTCACCTCCCCCTTCAGTATTTCTAACTTTAAAAGATGATCCAGTGTTAAGTAATTTAGATTCCTTCTAAAGAATTCGTCATTTTATGAAGTCTAATGGATCTCTTCTGTTGTGGATCAGAATGTATGAGTTACCTTATGCTTTTCTGAAACTGTGAAATGGTCACTGAAGAGAGTGAGGGAGGAGAACTGGTCACAGCTGACTTTCAAAGTATGTTACACATGGAAGAGAGAGTGAGGCTAATTAGAGGGGTCATTTATCAGTGCCTGTTGTAGTCACCTTTTGTTATTTGCTAAAAATATGTCTAGAAGAAGGGTAATCTAACTGCTTATTTTTTTCCCCCAAAGAGAGGAGGAGAGCAGGTTCAAAATCTGAGTTGATGTCAGATGACTCAACAGTAGGGATGGGTTGTCAGCACTACTGACACCAGCTCGTTATTGGTTCCTTTCAACTTGTTTCCAGCTCATGCCCTAATCAAATGAAAAGGGCAAATTCAGAAATGCATCTGAAGGGAAGGAAAGGTGTGGAGATGGAGAGTGTATCAATGAATTCCTTTTAGGAAGGGGGGATGCTCAATTAAGTGAGCTTGAAACAGGCCCAGGTGTGCTGCAGTAGCCTATGAATTTATAGCTGTAGCAGGTTTATCAGTGTGTGTTGGCAGTAAAGCAGGCAGTAGTCGGTTTGGCTCTGGCTGATGTTAAAGGACTTGTAGAGTGATAGCCCTGGTTTCAGACATACCTCAGTCTTTATCTCCTTAAACAAAAAAGCAGTACATGATGAAGGGGAAACGTAAGAGAGCCTACCTCTCTCGGAAACTGTTGACCAAATCAAGGCTTGTTATAGCCAGAACTGAAGCTCTTTTGAGAAGAATTTTGATGATGGAGAGCTCAGAGAAGATCAGCAGAAAAGGCAAGTGGTGAGGGGACTGAAAGGAAAGAGACTTCTGCCTTTGAATTATATGTTGGCAGCCCTCTGCTATCTTTGGTGAATCTCTGCTGACTAGCGTTTGTTATCTGTTCCTGAAATATGTGGTCTTTTAACCAGCTTATTCTGTAGAAGTGTAATTTGTAGTAGAAAACTGGGAACAATTCCTTTTAAGAGAATGGATTTCCCTTGGGGGAAAAGCATCGGTAATATGCCCAGAACTGGGATACGGTGGAGATGTGAGTCATTAAAATGCACTGTGGAGAGGTTGGTATTATCCTGCATTTTTTTGAAAAAAATGTATCCTCTGCAAATATAGAGGACTTACTGTACATCTTTTTTTGGATTCCTGGCATGAGAGTCTCTAGAGGAGACACCTAACCAGGGAGCAAAAAGTTAAAATGAATGACTACATCTTGACCAGCAAGAAACACTTCTTGGCAATAGGGAGACTGAAATTTTGTAGGTACTGAGATGCTTGTTATTTAAGGCCTTCAAAAATTAGGTAGGACAAAATGCTACAGTGCATTCTGCAGTGCCTAGAGTAGTGAAATGGGTGACTTCTAAAGCTTTGTTCTGGAAATATTGCAGTTGGAGTGCAAAGACTTTCACCTTGTGTTCTTGATTTATCCTGGCTATATTCAACAAAAGGTGCCATCCAGGGTGTTACAGAGTATCACAATGATTAGACAGCCAAGACCAGATAGTTAAGCTTCTATGTAAAATGGGACACGGTTATTTTAAGAACAGAGTACTGTAGTCAATCAACGATGTGGTGTGTTTGCTGCTGTCAGTGGTCAGTAACTTCCCTATGACTGTTATGGACACATGTATTTGTCTTGGTTTCATTGGAATTGTCTTTTGTCCTTAGACTTGATGACAGTGACTTAATTTTCTTTGAAATAATGAAGTAATACTGAAGATAACACCCACCTTTTGAGGCTAGTAACTAAATTTCCTCACAACTGTAAATTACAGTTGTTGGGGGAAGACTGACAGGACAAAACATCAGTGCTAGAAGTGCAGGTCAACTTTGATGTAAGAGGTTAGTGGGTTTCTCCAAATGATTAAGGGATATGCAATTTCCACTAGTCACAGAGGTCAGCTGCTTTGCAGCAATGGCCTGTGATGTACCAGCTGTGTCTTAGAACAGAGTGGTTTGTGTATAGTCTGAGTGTAATGGCAGGACTTCTTGTGATGTTATGGGCTGACTAATGTCTGGTGTGTTTCCATGAAATTCTAGTGACTCCCAAGTTAGTTGGCTTGTAGTATCTTACAAGTGAGTATAGTGACTCATTTATAGTATCATCTGCCTAAAGACAGTGGTACTTTATAGTATGTATCAAAATGGGAAACAAAGTAAGGTTGCTTTCTGCATTTAAATTGGGGGAAGAGATTGATTGATTTTAAATGTGGGGTTTAGTTGCTGTTTTTAAAGAGATACAGTTATTGATATGGGAAACTTGATTTTCTAAATATCCTTGCAGTTGGGTATCCTTGATCCTGGTAGCAAGTAGTTTGGGTAGTTAGTTTTTGATGCCTGCATCTAGTTAGGAGGGGGGAAGAGAAGAGGATCTGAGTAACCATAACACAGTTCCTTATCACCATTGCTTACCAAGGCTTAGCGTGCTGTTGCCAGGAGCCCTTTTGGTCCACCTTCTTTTGAAAAGGTGCACCTCAGTTTTCAGTGGTATCTGTGGATGTATGCATCCTTGTTTGTGTATCTAGAGGAAAAGCTGTGGTTCCTGGCCAGTCTGTTTTGATGTTTAACCAGAGCAATCTATAAGGTGTGTAAAATCTGTACCTGCTGGTTTCCAGTGGAGACCTGTGAGTTTCTCTGTGCGTTGTGGTATTTGCTTCCAGTGATGCCCCTGAATATCAGACCTAGGAATTTGTATGTTCTGGGGTGGGATGTTTTGGTTCATTTTTTTGTTGTTTTGTTTTGGTGAAGCTGCTTGTGGAGCTTGTAAGATACTCTTGACAGCTAACAGCTAGCAGAGAAGGCTACAAAATATGCTACCCGAACCTCCTCCCCTCGCCCCTGCGCCCCCACCAACATTCCCTGGAGTGTGATGCATGTAGGATTGATGATTTGAAGTAACAAATATGCATGTTAGCCACTCTGACTGTCTCAAACTCACAGCTATAAGCGTGTTATCTGTCCAGTCTAGGAAGAGGTATGGTATCTTACCTTGTCAGTAACTTCTTGTGGGGTGCAATTGGAAGCAAAGTTATAGGAAGTGAAGCTGTATTGAAGGGAAGTGTTCCTGGTTTGGAGGTGCCACCTGTGTCTTTGTCCAGAGTGTAACTAAGGTTAGGTTTCAGCTGGGGTTAACTCCTGCCTTGGCCATGCCAGTCAGGGATATGTCAGACATAATTTGAGTGTGTTCACAGTAAGAGCTGCTGCCCTGAGGCTGTTGCAAGGTGGAGAGGGATGGAGGTGCTAGTATACATGCTCATGTGTAGGTACAGCATGACATGACTTTCTCTAGGTAGTCTGTGGGGCTGTGAGTGAATGAATGCTGAGGGTGGGCCAGCTTTTTTTGTAATGCTAAACTCTTTGTCTAAGCAAGAGATGAAAGGAATCTGCAAATAACCATCAAGCTGCAAGGGAGGCTTGCAACTTCTCTTTGGTACATTGATCATCTATTGAGTGTCTGTTTGCAAACTGGGCAACTGCAGAGACAAGCTCAGACTTTGAAACTGGTGGCATGTAAGGGGTCTATTGAGTGCTGCTGTTCAGACACTTGTGATTGCTTGTGTCCTGTCAACTTTCTGTTGCTTTCTGTTGGTGTCTGAGAGCTGCCTGGCTTTGCATTCTGTTTGTGGCAGTAGGTCCAGACCATTCTCAGGAAAGGTGGTAAAGGGCTAGCTTCAGACTTTGGATCATCATGCTGTATAAGGAATTGCACTATTGCTCTCATTTTCCCACTGTACAATACCTTTTTGTAGAAGCAAGGAACCAACTAAAGGCACAACAAGCTAATGGCCTCTGGCGAAAACAAGCTTTTTGTAGCCAGCCAGCCTGCATGAAAGATCAAGATTTAGCAAGCTAAACAAATGTAGTAGATGGAGCTTCATCCTATTTCCCATATGTAAAGTGATATATAACTCTTGCTTTCCTTTGTTGCTGGGAGTCCACCTCTGTCAGCATGGATTCCTCAAAACACTTTAAACTGTTTTAGATTTTAGACTTCTAGCTCTTGAAAGGCAGGCTGTCTTTAGTTTCCTTCACTGTGTAAGATAAATCTTATGGCTGTTCTGTCCCTCAGTCTGAGATACTTCATTAGAGTGGGAGAGCAAAATGGCTTCTGAAGCTGCATTTTTAGACCAGAGTGAGAAGGCCGTTCCCTGTCTGGACATTCCCATGGTGTCAGCTCGCAGCTTAACACATTTGTATTCAGATCTAGAAAAGTGTGGTGTGGGTCAATTGGAAAAGCAGACTCTTAACTCCTAGTTCAGTCTTTGCTTGTGTCTACTTTGTTTGTTTTGTTTCTTCACAGTAATAAGTACTATTTTCTTGCCTTAGAACTTTTTGATAGAACAAGAATGAGAGGATATTCTTGTCTTGACCACTCATCAAGCTGTTGCTAAATTAGTGACTAAATACTTGGATGAGTAATGCTGCTTCTTCTGGTGTGGGCGTGTACATTGTAATTATATGGGCGCACCAGTGTAACCTGTCATTTTTTTTGTCTCCGCCTATCTCCCTCTTCTCTTTTCTTTCAGAGTACTTGAATCCTGAAAACGGAGGGCAGCAGATGTTCTCTATAAGTGATGCTTTTATTAAAGGTAAGGAGAAACTTCAAATGCTGTTGTGCAGTTTTAATATAATGATGAAAACTCCTCAGTACTCCTTTATGAGAGCATTTATAGAAATATTTACTTGACAGTAAATCTGAACTTACTTGTGCAAATCTGATATAGAAACTATACTCTAACTTTTTTGAATGCACTCTCAAGCTTAAATTTCTTTCAATTCTCAGATTTCTTTATTCAAAGGCACTCAAAGAAAAGCTTTTACTTTTTTGTTTTTTTTTAAAATAAGTGTAAGTGGCAGGTCTGTTCACAACTTCCCCACCCACTAACTTATGTAACAGACACCGATTCTTACTTTTCTGTGCAAGCAAATGAAGATGTGATATGATTAATTGCACTGCTTCTACAGAGTAACTTAAAGCTTCATCTCTTAAATCTTTCTGGGTTTCCTGTCATCATCACCACCACCACTATTACTTCTGAAATGAAAGGCCATTAGATGCAGTTGTGAGTTTTAAAACCCCTGTGCCTTCCAATGTTGTGGCCAGGTGCAATTGTGGCCTTTTTTTCTCTCCCAGTTAATGCCATTGATTTTGGTGAGCTCGTAAGAGGAGGAAATAAGGGAGAAACCCCAATGTCTGTGCTGCCAGAAAAATAAAAGTCTTTGATTCAACTGATGCTTAGTTTTTAACTGAGCTTTTGCAGGAGAAGGGAAAGGGGAAAAAACAATGTAACTTCTGTTAATGTTCTACACAGCTAATTTTGGGTATGGAGCATCTGGAAGAAGTTAATTGTTGTTTTTAAAGAGCCTTTTTTTCAATAGTCCTTGTCAGATTACTGTTGTATAAGGATTTTGTAGTTGCATCATGTGCTCTGAGGAGCTTTAAGCTTGAACTCTGAAGGCTTACATACTTACTGATGAAAATTTATACACTACTAGGAAAAATGACTTATAATATAGTCAGCCATTATGAGAATGGGGAAGTGTATAACTTCCCCTCTATAATATCAGAATACCTGTGTGGGAAGTAACCTAGTACAAAGCACAGAAAACTAGTGAAATAACCTCTAATCTTGGTACTGCAAAACAGAGGACAGTTCTTAGGAGTTACTACACAATATAATGATTGCAAGCAGCAGGCCCCCTCCAAGTGAAGACTGTCTTATGCTGTTGAAACATGCTTTCTGTTTCCAAAACCAGAGATGGCTGTAGTTCATGCTGACATTTAGGATTTAAAAAATTGTATCAGTGGATACAGCCTTCATTGGCATCCTGTTTATTGTAGCGGAGAGACACCTGTGTATATGATGGTTAGGTGGATGGAGGTGAGGAGATATCCTGAGATGTTTTGAAAAGCTTGTGTCACTTTCTTGACAGAAGAATTCTGTAGTACTAAATACTGTGATACAAGCTAGATGAAACAGCCTGCTGGCAGCTCCCTCCACACCTGAGCAGCAAAGAGGTGATGTGTAGGATCAGGGCTGCAAGTCATGTAAAGGTTTAAAAGTCTGACATTGGAATTGGTGGCATAGCATTTATTTTAAATATGTTTGGGAGATACACTAAACAAGGCCTTTACCAAGATATAACTGAAATAACTGGATCTTTTAATGCAACTTATATGTAGATGTCTTCAAAGCAGCAATTTTTTGTGGATCAAATTAGTGCCTTTGACCGATGTTCGAAGTCTAAGATGCATTATGATTATGTATTATGAATATACACAATATTCAGAATTTGCTGCTTATTTATAGGCAAAACTAGGATATAAGGGTTTTTTTTTTTCCCCTTGTCTTAACAAACTTGGTAGCAATTCAATTCCAGAAGAGAAAACAGTCTGCTGAATACTGGCAGTACAAGAATTTTAGTATCTCACTTTTCTTTTGTGTGCTCACCACTGTTATACTCAGTACTGTTTGCTGCATCATGTTACCATGACGTCTAGCTCAAACTCAGTATTTCAAGAAGCTTAGACTTATGTCTTAGTAAATTCTTTCATTTTCAAAGTAGCCTTTCAGAAAGGCACAGGCATTCAACTGTAACCTTATACTAACAAGTTTTATTTGTCTCTTGCAGAGTCGTTATTCAACAGGAGGGTGGAGGAGAAGTCCAAAGAACTCTTTTTCACGCCCCTAGGCTGGCACCACAGCAATCTGGATCTGCTGAGAGAAGAGAATGGGGAGAAACAAGCCATGGAAAGGCTGCTGTAAGAAACATGCAGAAAAAGGAGTTTGCATATCTTGAGTAATAATTCCTGAAGCCCCTCTATTCCACCAACTTTCAGTGGGACTTGATCTACAATGGACAATATAAGGAACTAATTTGTATTAAGAAAACAGCATTTTTACAGTATATTTTGATTGCTCTTTTCCCTGTGATTTTTATATATTGAAGTACAGGACCAGAGTTGACTGTAGAACATTCTGGGCAGCTGTTCCTTCAGAGGACTTCCTGCACTGTAAACATTAAGAAATGTACTTCTGAAATGTGACTTCAACTAATCACTGGTCTGTATTTTTCTCACGAGAAATCTGTTTGTTTTGCCTTTTTGTACAGGTCTGCTAATCACAACCACATGATGGCACTGCTTCAGCAGCTTCTGTACAATGAGTCCCTGTCACTGTCCTGGAGGGATATCATTGTACCTGTGGTCTGCCAGGTAGTTCAAACTGTACGGCCCGATGTCAAGAACCGAGATGATGACATGGATATCCGCCAGTTTGTCCACATCAAGAAAGTAAGTTTCAAACAGTGGATGTAGGGAAACAAAAGGATGCAGCTGCTGGCAGCACCTCTTTTTTGAAGAGAACAGTCCCCTTCCCACTGCCCCCAGCATGTTCAGTGGTGTAATTGGCCAACATGGCCTTTGGATAAGGTGGGGCTCTAGAAAAAGTTGCACAGAAGGAACTTTGCATCCTGTGAAAGGTGCTTTAATGCCCTGGAGCTGACCTCTTCTTTCAGGCTGTAGGCAGCAGAAGGAAGCAAAAAGCAACACCTCTGTAATGACTTGCTTCCTTTTTTGGTTTCTGCTTCTTTTGTGCTTGGATTGGAGATGTACTGAATGCTGGATAAGTAGCTTGCAGGACTCTGTAGCAATCTATTGCCCTGTAACTATCCATTATGGAGGATTGAACTCCCATGCCAAGTACGACAACTTTCTTCAAGAGGAAAAGTTAATTGTTATGGGACGATGCATCCAGTTCTGCCAGATGGCCCAGTGTTGACATTGTCGAACTGTAAAGCTGGAGTTGTGGCATGCAGAGTTTCTTCAGAGAGGCTGATGTGAAACTAACTAGTGTGACTGAGGATCAAAGGCTCAGGCTTATTTTTCTTTGGCAAAATTCACCTCAGGAGGCCTCTTCGGTTTGGAAGCCATGTAAGATATGAGGAGAGCCTTATAGTTCTGGTGGTAGCTCTGTGGCATCTCTTCAGGCAGCATTAGTTGTTGCTGCCTCTCCTGAAACTCCAGTTCAAAGAGCAGATGTTCAGAGGTGAAAGCTCTTCGTCTTTTTGTAGCTGTCTGCTGTTTTCACATGCTGATAACAGAAATGTCCTCTGAAACATGTTATTCGGAAACCTGTTTCATGTTGTTTATTACTCCTGTGATTCATTGTGACTGTAGGCACACCAGTCAAGTGTTTGATGTGTTCAAATGGTAGGTAGAGGTTCTCTCTCTCTTCCCCCCCCCCCCCCCCTTCTTTTTCCTTACAACTTGTTTGCACATGCCACTTCCACTAACAAAGGCGTGTGCTCCCCATGGCCTAAAGAAGTTAGATTCCCTTGTTATCTTCCAGAGTGTACCTGGTTTAATAAATATCCATCTGTTGGGAGGGGCATTGAGATGCTGGAACTTGGTACTTGTTTTCATGTTGTCCTTAGTTTGCCAGACTTTAAAAGAAAAGAGTTGTGTGTCCAGCATGACTGTGTCTGATCTTTCATCTGATAATTGAGGGTGTAGCTGAAGCTTGCACATCAGCTACAATAGGTATTCTCAGTATTAGGTTTGCTGCATTAGAAGTTATGGGAATGTATGATAGTTCTAAAAACGTTCTTTGCTTTATTAGATCCCTGGTGGAAAGAAATTTGACTCCATGGTGGTGAATGGATTTGTTTGCACTAAGAATGTTGCACATAAAAAGGTAAGGCAGGCTTGATTAATCAAGTGCTGGCTGTAGTGCATGCGGAGGAAACAAGTGTGCTGTGACTTCCTTTTTGGGTTGTGAAACTTCTCTCATCACTCAGGAGGTTTGCGAGCTTTCTCTAGTTTGAGACCCTAAACAAGAATGGCTTTTAAAGCCAAAACAGCTTTTCCAAGCTGTTTTCTTTTAGCCCAGAGATTCTAAGGGGCTGAAGCTTTCCTCATGCGTGTATAGAAAAATATCCTTTCCACCCCTACCTCCCCAGAAAGCATCAAATAATTACGCCAAGTTTTAACCAGAAGGCATTTGTGGTTCTGACTTAGGACAATATAGTAAAGTGAACCTTTAAACAAGGCAGGAGATCAAGATAGAAATGATCTGGATGGAGGCTCCAAAGTGTATCAAGACTTCAGGGTTCTTGGGGATGACTGTAGAAACCTCTAGCATTGCACTCTTACTGGACAGTAGCTGTGAAATTCCAACAACTGGGTGTAACATCTTTGTAAGAAGGAAAAATGTGTAGTTGTGTCTGTGGGGGTGGGAGGTAGCTGAGACACTTTTATGGGTGGGGGAAATATCAGTCACTGGAAGTCTGGGTTTTTTGTGTGTACTTTTCCCCTTCCAGGTGTTTGTATTTTTGTTTTAACTATTTTTGTGTCTTTCTTAGATGAACTCCTGCTTAAAAAATCCCAAAATTCTTCTGCTGAAGTGCTCAATTGAGTACCTCTATCGAGAAGAAACAAAGTTTACCTGCATAGACCCTATAGTACTTCAGGTGAGAGCATGCGTTTTTTCTTGGTTAAAATTGCCTGAGGCCTAGTGATTGCAACAAAATTATGATCAGTACACATCTGATTTTTTTTTCAGTGTGTAAGGTGGGGTTGAGTGAGTGGGATTGCATAGGAAAGAGAAAAAAATCCTCTTTTAGTAGCTAGCTAAGAAGACTGCTGCAGTAATTAAGTAAATACAGTACAAACTTGTAGTCTTGTGCTGAGGGTTTTTGACATCGTTACATGTACTGAGAGCGATCTTATGATCCTCGCAATTAAATGCAGCATTTTAGAAAACCCGTTTTGTTTTTAATGGTACACTGTATAAGGACCATATGGTTCAGAAGGTCAGAGCTATGGTTTTGGTGTGCCAAGAAGTACTAGAAAAGTTAGTGTAGGTGAGGGTTAGGTTGCACGCATGTTATTTCTAGTCACGCTTGAAAGAATGGGACAACAACCAACCTAATGAAGTGATGAACTACAAAATGTCACTTAGGAACAGGTGCCCTGCCCCTGTAAGCAGGGAGGTGCCTTAAGCATGAAAACACTGAAGTGGATAGACCTTTTCTTTAACACACTGCATTCCCGTCTGAGAATCAGTCTTCGGGTGTTTGCCAGGATACTTGTAACAAGGGTATTTGGTGCCCTACTGAGCTTGGGCCATAATGTTTGTTTCTGTGTTTGACTATTTCCTCAGCATGCATATAAGACCACTTCTATTTGGTGATTAGTAGATAGGATTACAGGTGTGAAAGCTTTAGCAATAAAACTTGTCTCTGCCTAGTGAGTTGGTTTTCTAGTAAAAGCTAAAACTGAGACCTAACCTTCGTCTGAATGGGGTAAAGTATCTACTTTCTATATATTGGTCTTGGTGATTATTTCAGTGTCTGCTTCAGAACATGATCATAACTATTTGTGTATCTGCATTAAAGTCCTATAGGACAGAAAATACTACAGAAATACTAGTTCAATTGTAAAGCTTAGCTTCTAGCAAAAGCTTTATCTTTGCTACACTAACATGAATGTTTGTGTTCTGAGGAACTGGAAAACTGCTTTTGTGGTATCTTTCTCTTGCACAGAACTTTAAAACCTGACTGATATGAGCTGCAGTAACACAACTGAGGATACCTGGTTGGGAAGCTGTATCCTCCCTCTAGTGGTGTAGGCCTTTAGTTCTGATAGAGTTGCAGCCCTGCTTTCTCTTTCTGGGAGTAGTAATAAAAGGGGGCCCGGTGGGGGCAGGGAGGATAGTGAGGTGAGGCCAGAAGGTGGGCATGGTTAGAAGAGCAGTTTTGCAGTGCACAGCATTTGGTATCCTACTCCAGAAGCACTGTTTCTAAGTACAGATGTAGGGACTGAGGCTCTGTGTACAGACTTGTAGAGACATAGAGCACTGGCGTACTCTTTGTGAATGGAAGTGTCTCTGAGTGCCAGCACTCAACATTAGCATGTATCTGAAGGTGGAGAACATAATATTGCAAACAGCTTTGGTTTAGGATGCTCTAATTCTAGCAGCTTTTGAACATAAAGCTTTTTTCCATGTAAGATGCATATATGTATGTTTGGATTCTGCTGCAAGTCCCTTACTGCAGACTGTCATTAGACTATATCCTCATGTGCAATTAGTGCATATAACAAATTACTGATGAACTGGGTTGTGCTGTTGGGGTGGGGAAATGTGCACAATGGGCAACTGATGGTGCTTTCTGGATAGCTGGTTTTCCTGTTGTATAGGAAAGGTCAGTATATACATGAGAGAGGAAGTAATATTGAGCATTTAAGTGGTTTTTTTTCAGATGGGTTTGCAGTAGTTAACTGCCATACTTTGTTCCTGTCTGCAGGAAAGGGAGTTCTTGAAGAACTACGTACAGCGGATAGTTGATGTCAGGCCTAATTTGGTCCTTGTTGAGAAGACTGTGTCCAGAATTGCCCAGGACATGCTCTTAGAGCATGGTATCACTCTGGTCATCAATGTCAAGCCGGTGAGCATTTTCCAGAGTCATTCTGGGCCTTGTGGTGGATCTCTGTAATTTCCCCTTGTAGCAAGCTCCCTGGAGAAAGCAAGGAGTTCTCTTATCTTCTCCTCTAACCAAACTTGGGCTCTTTTTTAATGCTACTTCTTTCCCAGAAGGCAAGACAGGCAAACTTAGAGTAACTTCTCAGCTCTTCACAGCTACTCTGCTGTGTCCTTGCTTGGTAGGTCCTTGTACCCTGGCTTGGTTCTAGTTAACTCTGATTCCAATTTGTAGCAAATCCTGCATGGGTCCTCAGTGATCCCTAGAGAGCGTCTTTGTCCCTGTGAGGCAGGGTACAGCCAGCCACAGAGTGGCTGTGGTAGTTGGCTGAACTCCTGATAGCCAGCACTATGCTGACTGCACTGTACCTCCTGGAACTCTTTTCACTTGAACAGATCCAGATATCTCCAAGGAAGGGCACAATCTTACCTTTCACCAGAAATATTTACCCAACTCCTTTTCTAAGATTCTTGTATATTGTGGGTGTGTGTTTGTGTGACTGGGTTTAACCCAGAGTTTGTGTCTCATGAGAGGTTTCCTGGATCGTGCTGGCCTTTTATTTTTTTGTTTTTGGTTTTTTTTTGTGGGTTTAGGTTTTTGTTTTAGAGCAAGCTAAGGATGCTAGTGTCCTCTTTGCACTGTAGATTCTTACTGTGTTTTCCATTTTGACAGCAAGTGTTAGACCGGGTAAGTCGAATGACCCAGGGGGACTTAGTGATGTCAATGGATCAACTGTTGACCAAACCACGTTTAGGAACCTGTCATAAATTTTATATGCAAGTCTTTCAGTTGCCCAATGGTGAGTAAAGCTTGATGTGTGTTAGCTTGTCTGTGTGAAAGGATAAATGCTTTGCTCCTCTTAACCAGATCTGAACTGTTGGGTGCTTTGTGTGATCAAGTGTTATCCTTCCTACTCATTTTTCTTCACTTCTCTTACATCTTAGAACTACAGTGAACTGTCTGTGGACACAAAAGCATGACCTTACTAAGATAAGACATGCTAGATTTTAATTAGGCTGGTGGCTTCTTTCCAAATTGTTTTTTTTTTCTCTTCCCACAACCTTGGAGTTTGTCTAGTCTAACTTCCTATGCAAAACAGGAAGGATTAATTTCAATGCAGGATCAGATTTCTCAGGGCTTTGTCAGCCAGCTGTGAAGATATTACAGAATGGAGATTTCATAGCCTGTGTGGGCATCTGTTCAGTTACTTAACCATCCTCAGCATAAAGAATTTTTTTACATAGAAACAGAGACTTATAGAACAGCCTGGGTTGGAAGAGACCTCGAAAGATCATCTGGTCCAACCATAACATATCTAATTAAAATTTGCCTTGCTGCAAATTGTGCACACTGCCTCTTGTCCAGTCATTGTGCACCTTTGAGAAATCAGGTTCCTGTTTCTGTGTTAACCACCTTTAGGCAGTGGAAGTCTGCAAAGGAAGAAGGAAGAAATGCTGCTTGACAGGTTACCAGTGGTGCTGGTACACATAAATGCTGTTGATGCAAGTTTTTGTGGAGATGTAGTCTTTGCATCTCTTCCCCTTCCAGTTCCCCATGCCCCCTTCCAGCCTTTAAATTGCACTCAAAATCTTGTAGGGTTTTGACTTGTAAGGAAGAGCAAATGTGCCTGGGAGGATAGTGGTTCTTTTCCTTCGCTGCTGCAGAATCTACAGTGATCTTAGAATACACTGTTCCATGTGACCTTCACTTGGACTTTATGGTGACTTGTTTTACAAAACAGAAGTTTTGTAGCAAATGCTTGTTTTGCTTGCAAAAATAAGTTACTTCAGTACAGTGATGTGAATTTCTGCAGCTGGATTATGCTACCAATGTTACTTGCTCTTAGTCCCTATTACAGTCTCTTCAGTGTGTGAGATACCCAAGAGCAGGTTAACTGTAGCTGTCATCCTAACTCCTATGGTGGTGTTTTTTTGTGGTGTTTTGTTTTTTTTTTCTTCTAGATCAGACAAAAACCCTGATGTTCTTTGAAGGGTGTCCCCAGCACCTGGGTTGCACTATCAAGTTGTGTGGTGCTGCAGAGTACGAGCTCGCCCGTGTGAAGGAGATCCTGATCTTCATGGTCTGTGTGGCTTATCATTCCCAGCTGGAAATCTCTTTCCTTATGGATGAGTTTGCCATGCCCCCTACTCTGACCAAAAACACCTCCTTTCACTCCCTTATTGAGGAGCCAGGAGATGAAAACGAACAACAGAACCTCTTCAATGGCGAGGATTTCAGCACAGCAGTCAGAGACATTGAACTATCCTCTGAAAAGCTGCCTGTAATCTCTGAGTCAGTGTCCTCTGATGAGGTCAGCTTGCTTGAACAAAGAGGTTTATTTGAGAGAGGTGACCAAGAGAACAGTCAGCTGGAAATGGCATCCTCAAAACAGCAAGAGCACCACAAAGTAGAGTCACCATTTCCGGTGTTCAACTCTGTACCTCCTGCAATACCTGAAACATCCCTGCTGCCCCTCCATGGCATGGACCAGCACTTGGTCACTGTGGATAGCCAGACACTAGAGCCTCTTCAACAGGCAGATGATCTGCAGGAGTCCAAGAGTCAGATGAGAGTCTTCAGAGACCCTCTCCAGGATGATACTGGTTTATATGTCACAGAAGAGGTAACTTCTTCTGAGGATCGTCTCAAGACTTACTCGGCAGCATTTAAGCAGGAGTTGAAAGACGTCATTCTCTGTATTTCTCCTGTAATGATGTTCCGTGAACCATTTCTTTTGACTGAAAAAGGCATGAGGTGCCCTGCCCGTGAATACTTCCCTGAGCAAGTTTATTGGTCTCCTCTCCTCAATAAGGAGTACAAGGAGTTGGAGAGCAGAAGAAAGAGACAATTATTGCGGGATCTCTCTGGACTGCAAGGGATGAATGGGAGTATCCAAGCCAAGGCTATCCAAATCTTACCTTCTCATGAGTTGGTTAATACTAGAATAGCAGAACACCTAGGTGATAGCCAGAGCTTGGCCAGAATGCTGGCTGACTATCGGGCCAGAGGAGGGAGGATACTACAGAAAAGCATGGATCCCTTTGCCCAAAGTAAGGATGTGTCTAGTGTCCCTACTGGAAAAACTGGCTGCAGAATTGAAGAGGATGAGAAGGGACTGGCTCAGAGTGAATCCTCATGGTCTCATAAGGTAAGATTCAAAGCTATGTTACTGAAAACCCAGGTTACATCAGTTTCTCCTGGTAATACAGAAGGTGTAGCGTCTCATATTAGATGTGAAACCAGAGTTGTGGGGTTTGGGTTTGATTGGTTGGGTGGGTTTTTTTGTTCTTGTGGGGTTTTTTTGATTGGGGTTTTTTTGGGTTTTTTTTGTTTGTTTGTTTTTGACTGGGTCAAAACTGCAGTTTAGATTACAGTGCTCTGGGCACGTAAACAAGTCAATATAATGAGGGACTATGTGGATGTAAGAAAGCGGAACAAGAGACTGACTGCAAAATTTCCCTGAGAAGGGAAGAGGTTGTGAGACTCTGCTTTGTGCATTTCTCAAAGTCAGCCAAGAATCAGTGTATTACATTGCCTGTCCAGCTCAGCTGTACATGACCGATTTCTGAAAATGAGTACATGAAGGAGGAACAAACTTAAAGAAGTTGTTTCTGAAACTGAGGGGGTTTTGCTGCTTGTATTGGTGATTTCTGAAAGTGTAATATTTTCATCTTCAGGGGGTTTAATGTAATGGAAACAGCAGTAGGCTGTAATTAAAGTGTTAGACTGTAAAAGTTTGGGTGATCTGAAGAAATGTGAGAATCTCATAATGGTAGGAGGGAAATCTCCTTTGAAATTTCAAAGCAAGGCATTATGTGCTTGTAAACAAAATACTTAAGGTTTTGGGAAACTGCTGCGAAAGCAACTAACTTGTATCTGAGGAAAAGGATCTTGGGACATTCTTGAACTGGAAGCTGTTCAGGAAAAAAGTCAATGAACAAGGGTAGCAGAACTGATCTCTTGAAATAGTCAAACATTTTGGTCCCTGAGCCAATCAGCCCCCAAGGTCATGAGCAGAAGTCACTCTTTAATTGGTGCTTAAATGCAAATCTGTGTAGCTTCATAGGCCACAGTCTTACAAACTGTAAGACTAGCCCTTGCTCTGGATCAGACTGGTTGATGCTGTTTTAAATTTATTCAGTGATCAAAGAAATGTATTTTGTAACTCCATAGTTCTCTAGGGTGTGGAAGGGGAAACAGCTCTGTTCCAGCAGCAGCATGGTAAATCTCTTCACAGAGGACAGAAAGTTGGAAGTCTTTCTATAGCCTGAAAGAGTAATTGAAGTATAATATATTGGTGGAGTTTTGACTCCAAGGTGTCCTAAACTGTACAGTGCTTTGGAGACTCTGGATGTTTGTCTCGGGGCTTTTGTTGTTTTGTTTCCCTTAGCTTACTTTCCACAGAAACACATGTGTGTGCATTGGTTTCATTATGCATGTTAGTTATGCTGTTCTAAAAATGGCAGTTAGCAGTTATACATAGTACAAGTCTACCTGAAGCTCAGAGATAATGCAAAGTTAATCTGTACAAAAGGAGCAAGCAGAGATTCATCTGTAAATAAAACTACTAGAATAGAATTTTGTCATCAGGAGTTGTGTGTGGCTGGAGGTATCTGTGACCAGTAAATGAGTTGTTTTCCCTCTACCAGGTGGATTGCCTGAGTCCAGTAAACCATCAGAGGCTCTGTGTTCTCTTCAGTAGCTCTTCTTCTCAGTCCAGCAATGCTCCAAGTGCCTGTGTTAGCCCCTGGTATGAAAACTACTCCTCTACAGCTTGTATAGTTGCTATCTTTTTTCCTAAGCCAAGGTCAGTGCTCACCTCATAGTGGTATTTCTTTGAGGACTCCTTGGTAGGCTGTGCCCATCCTGTAACAGGAACTGTTGCCAAAAGGACAAGAACTGTTATCGTGCCTGGTCAGGTGGATCCAGAGCAGTATCCCATAGCCTTTGTAATCCCCAAGGCATGAATGAGAAAGCCTAGCCTAAAACTGAATGCTTTAGTTGGTCCTTTCACTGCAGAGTGATGTATGTGTGGGGAGGGCATTGCATGCAGTCTTGTGGGGAAGAGTTAGTGTACATGAACACAGAAGAATGTCCAAGTCCAAAAATAAGCCCCGAGAGAATCTCAGAATACTTCTAGATTGTATTATCCGAGAGTGGCATTTGAAAATATTGCTATCTTTCTCATATTATAGCCAGCAGCGTTAAGAGCTTTAACTGTATTTCCAGTTTAGGGGGCTGTAATTTGTTGATTGTGTGCAACTTACGACACACTTCTAGATCTACTAAACAAGACAGTATTAGTGTTTCATCACCTAGCTCAGGTGAAAATATAGAATGGCTGTCTTACAGGGAAAGGTCTAGAGTTCCTGTAAAAGCTTAGGAATGAACCAAAGAAGGTGGTGATAAGCTCACTAAACAGCAATAGGATGTAAATTACTGATATTAGAGATGTCCGAATTGTGACACTTAAACACATTTTAAGTGGCTTGGTCACCTCAGGTGCTGAAAAAACAGAAGTTGCTATTAAATCTTCTAGAAGAATAAGTGTTTCTTAAGGCTTTTTTCATCTTCTGGATGTACCCTTTTTGTAGCTGTTTAAATGTTAGTGTTTGAGGCTTCAGGCTGTCTAGACTTCTGTGCCTAGATATTCTTGAACATGATCTTCAAAAGTGCAGTTGAATTGTATTTGACTTTTAAAGGTCAAGTTTAAAGTTGTTCTAGTAGGACTCTGCTCTCATTATTAGCAAACTTGACAGCAGGGGTCTAGGAAAGGTAGTCAAGAGGAAAAAAAGCCTTTGAAGATACCTTCATCATGGAGACACAGGGTGTGGGATGGGGACAGGGACACAGGGTGCTGGATGGGGACAAGACAGGGACACGGGGTGCAGCATGGGGATATGGGGTGTGGGATGGGAACAGGGCACAGCGACAAGGACACAGGGTGCAGGACGAGGACCAGGAGTGCAGGATGGGGACAGGGACACAGGGTGTGGCACAGGGAGTATACAGGGCTGAAAACAAGCCAGCAGTGGGTGCAGATCTGTGGGCCTAAAGGCCATTGTACAGCTAACAGTGGCAGCATCCACCCTCTAAAGCTTCCTTTCTCTGCTTTAGGATTGTGACCATGGAGTTCTATGGGAAAAATGACCTGACTCTAGGGATTTTTCTGGAGCGCTACTGTTTCAGGTGAGGAGGAACTTACTATAAATCTCATTCAAAACAAAAGCTTTTGATAGCTCTCTGAAGTTGACCTGCCACCCTCTTCATAGACTCTACTTCATGTGCACTTAGGAGAATAGTGTGCAAGTCTGCAGAGCCACTTGTGTCCTAGTAAAGCTTACCACTTAAATCTGTTGCTCCCTTTGCTTTATTATCATTCTGTAGTGAAACAGGAACTGGGTTTAGGAATTCACCTACTCATGCTCACTTCTTGCAAGCAAATGTATCCACTGCTTTCCCACTTCATATCTGTCCCTCTCATTTCCTTTAATGAGGAAGTGGAACAGATTACAAAACAAGATTTACAAGTTCATAAAGACAAAGGTGTTCACTTAGCACTTTCTTGTAGTGATTCGGGCTCTAAGGGCCTAGTTAAGAGTCTGAGCATGTATTCCAAATGGCTGTCTTCCGAGACAAGCAACTGTAGTCATCACAATTTTCTGAGGCTCCTATTTGAACTTTCGTATGAGTTCTTGAAAAAAACCTTTAGTGTTATCTGAACGTCTCGGAGTAAGGCTTTGTCATATCTGCAAGGTGGCTAATGTAAATGGTACAGAACACTTGTAGCCCTGGCAAAGTACTGTGTAATTTATTTCATCTGACAGAGGTGCAAGTTGTTACGTTTCAGTAATAACCAGTGCTGCCAGAACCCCATACAGTCTCAGTAGGCTGTGAAGCTGTACAGGTAGACTGCAGCTCCTCAAAAGAGAAGATTACTCTGTTCTCTCCATTGGCCACTTGCAGTAGTAAAATACTTTAATGTTCAGCCTCCTCTGGAGGAACAAGTGTTTCTCCTTGTGGTGATCAATGAGGAGGAGGAGCTTAGCTGCCCACTTTGAAGTTCTTGTTTCTCTCTGCTGACTAGCTAGTGTGTGCTAAAGTGAATGCTTCTCAATCTCCATAGTTTCAGTAATTAAAATTCTTTTTTTTTTTTTTTTTTTGTGAAGTCCCTAATGTTTGTTATTTAAAATTTTTTTTTTTTTTTTTTTTTTTTTTTTTGTCATATGAGCAAGGAGGATCTGGGCTTTTTAGGTTCTTCCTGTTTTTGAAGAACTCCCTATTTCACTTTGGTACCTAAGCAATTCAGTTTTTATTTTTCAGATGTCAGTCTCTCTTCCCTGACTTAAAAGAAACCCATCCAAAGAAAGGTCACAAGTTTTTCTGCTCAGAGAGGTTATATGGCACTATTTTGCTCACCTCTTCCTTCAGGAGCTGAAACATTACTATTTTTGAAGGCTCTTTGGCACATCTTTGTCCTCAGTAGCCTTTGCTCTGGTACACTGCCAAAGTGGTCTTCTAATTTGGTGCCAAGCACTTCCAGGTGCTTGATCCATATTTTGTGGACTATATAGAATACGTTGGTAGAAGGTGATTCACTGTAAAAAGATTGTGATAGCAACCAGTATCCATCCACTTCTTTTGGAACCTATATAGCTATTGCTGGCAAGGGAACTTCCCTACATGCTATTTCTAAACTAGTATAATTCACTCTGCAGAAACAGCCTTCACTAAAGGCTTAGGAAACTTTTACAGTAAAGATAAATAGTACCATGACATTAAAAGGCATATTATATATGTTGAATGAGTTCTTCAGCAGTGCCTAGCACATGATCCTTCATAAGTGTTTCCATTTCTCTCTATTAGGCCTTCCTACCAATGCCCCAGCATGTTCTGTGAAACACCAATGGTGCACCACATTCGTCGCTTTGTTCATGGGCAAGGCTGTGTGCAAATTGTGTTAAAGGAACTGGACTCCCCTGTCCCTGGGTACCAGCACACCATTCTCACTTACTCCTGGTGTAGACTGTGCAAACAGGTAAGGATGTGGACTTAAGAATCATTGCTATTCCAGTTTAGTATTCCTGTTGTGACTGGCCTTGTACAGAAATGCAGCATTTTTGAGAAAGTGCTCATCCCTGGAGCTATGGCTAAACTAGCACAAAACCTGTTACTGATACAGATGTTCTCCTGTATCTACAAATTCCTCTTGTAGAATTGGGGCTGTTGAGGGTGAAATGTCTTGTGTAATCTCATTGGAACAGGCTGCCCAGAGAGGTGGTGGAGTCGCCATCCCTGGAGGTGTTCAAAAAACGGGTAGATGTGGCACTTCGGGACATGGTTTAGTCTAGTCTACCCTTGATTGGTTTAGTGTGGACTTGGTAGTGTAGGTTAATGGTTGGGCTGGATGATCTTAAAGGTCTTTTCCAACCGAAACGATTCTGTGATTCTGTGTAGTCCTGTTGGAAAGTGTCAAACCTGGCTCTGAGAGGATAGGTTTAAGTGGAGTTGATATATTGCTGGAAACTAATTTCTGACACACAGGAAAAAATGGGGTTTGCCCTCTTGGAGGTGAAGAGTATGGTCCCTTCCCTGCAGTGAATCATTATGTATGGGGAAGGGCAGACCCCGAGACCTACTGGCTTAGTAATTGGTTAAAACCACTTGGTGTTCTTTGATCTGCTATAGACTGGACTGTCTGCATTGCGTCAATGTGATGTCTAGGCTTCCTTTAGCAGTCATTAGAAAGTAAGTAAAATCTTCATTAGAGGAATGATAAATTGCTTTAAAAACCAAGATAGTAAGATAGTGTATTATCTGAAACTTGTTCTGTAATTTAGCTAAGAAAACATTACTAACTGGCTACTCATCTCTAGCTAAACATTGTAAAACTTAAGAGCCTTCAAAGAGACAAGAATAAAACTTAATTAAAAAAGATTCATGCAGTGCCTGAAATGCAAAACATCTCAATTACCCATGCGGATGACTCAATCCACCTACGTATGCTGGCTTAAACATGGGTGTTGGATTTAAAGATACCTGGAGGAAGTTAATGTAATTGCTGAAGGCAAGCCCTATGCTGCTGTGTATACACCTGTTCTATAACCTTTTATTTCTGTGTGCTCATGTAAACACTAATATGTTTGTGGCTATTAAGTATGTATAAAACAGTGGCTACTCTGAGCTTGCAGGCACTGCTGAAGTTGAAATACACTGCAGAGCAATACCAATGTATTTGTAGCTGAAGAATCACCAGGGAAAAATATGTGATGAAACCACTGCTGCTGACTGGGTTGCTGGAAATTGTCTCTATGCAGAGAAATAACATCCCAGATAAAAGCTTCTGTCAAGGATATGTTTGCACTTCCCTGACTTAGCACCTGTCTTTATCAACTAGCAGTTGTTGTTTATCCAATTTATTGTAACGATGCGTTGGCCTTAGCTTTGCATAAATGCTGTCTTTGTTGTTTAGTATGTTTCAGGGTTATGGGTGCTTCTGGTACTAGAAACACTAGATTGCTGTCTAGGTTAGCCTGTCCTGAGCCTTGGTTGAAGGATGAAATTAAGACATTTGGCTTTCAATTTTTCAGGTGACACCGGTTGTTCCCCTTTCCAATGATTCTTGGTCTATGTCTTTCGCAAAATACCTTGAGCTGAGATTCTATGGGCACCAATACACTCGAAGGGCCAATGCAGAGCCTTGTGGTCATTCGATTCACCATGACTATCACCAGTATTTTTCCTATAATCAGATGGTGGCATCTTTCAGGTGAGGTCCACTGCTAAAAACTTCCTTCTCTCTCTAGTACTATGTGAAGCATATAGCTCTAGTAAGGATTCATCAGGTCTGTCCTTAACTTTGAGTACAGCATGGGATAGCATAACTGCACTATAACCACAAGCGCAGGATTATGTGCTGGCTTGCAGGGGGCGTTGTGGGTGCCATCACTCTCCTGGATGGGGTGGGCAGTGTTCCTAAGAATGGATGGCTCCAGTTTGTGATACAGAAGGGAAACACTTTTCCCTGTCTAATCTCAAAAACTTTCAGAATTTTGATTTTGCAACATGATCTGTGGTTTTATTTTTTGCCTTGGAGATAAATGAACAGGTTGTTATTGCTACTAAAAATAACTAAAGCCCTGGACATATTGATAGTGCCCCTTTTCATATAAGGGCCACAAACTGCAATATGGTGTAGAATTAGTATTATGTGGGGAAAGTCTTGTTAATAGCTGTCATATTGCCTTCTCAGCTACTCTCCAATACGGCTGCTTGAAGTGTGTGTTCCACTGCCCAAGATCTACATCAAACGGCAGGCTCCGTCAAAGGTTACTATTTTGCAGGATCTCAAGGATTTCTCTCAAAAGTAAGCTTTATTTTTAATGCATTCCTCAGCTTATTTGTATTTTGGACTTTTATTAGCATGACACAAAACCATTTTTGCTTGTATAGATAAGACTTGCTAAATATTCATTATTTAATAGAAAAGTAATGGTTTTAAACACATTTATATGTGCATATACTTCTAAGGGAGGGTGGTATTGGAATCTTCTTTATTACCTTTACCTGCTCTGTCTGTATTAATCTCTCACCTCTTCATCTGGTGGCAATTCAGCTTAAACATAGCCAGTAGAAACTCTTCTCCATCCCTGAATGTTGCACTGATATTTGAGTGATATAGCATGTTTCTGAATGATGTTGCAAAGTAGCCTCTGAAAGGTTGACCGTGAGCTGGTGTCTGAAATGTCACCTTTTCCTACAAAATGCTTTTTCAAGTGCAACTAAAGTATGTCTTAATTCCTCCCTCTAATACTAAAAATGGAACAGAGGAGGTGGTCCTAGAAGGCTTGATCTGAAAACCGCAGGTAACGTTTTGTACCTTTACGCTAACATTCCTTTTTGGAAGATCTGATCAAGTTTTAAATCCTGCCTTCAGCCCAGAAAAACTGCAAAGGCACTGCTCAAATCTGTTGTTCAAACAGAACTGTTTTCATTATATTGGTCATGTGGCAACTAAACTCTCTGGTGTGTGAAAGACATTGCCTTTGTTAGCTATTGAATATGATAACAGCAGACAATCTGGTACCTTCTTGCAGTCTAAGGTAAACTACCATAAGCCTAGACACCTTCTAAATGTAGGAACAAAAAAGTGGGACGGGCATGATGGAAACTATGTTAAATCCAGCCTGACTGCTGTTCTGTCTGGTGGCAGCATTCCTGAATGGCTGATGTCTCTGTGACTGCCTGACTTCAGAACCTGTGGAGCTTTATTTAGAGCTGAAACAGAGTTACTCATTCTGACTGTCTCTGAGCCCTTCTGGTGGAGGTGTAGCTTGCAGTCCCAGATTCTTCCTAGACACAGATGACACAACAGTTCCCCTCTGCTAGGAATGTGTTTGTGACCTTTGTGTTACTCTCTGACAACTTCCACTGTTAAGAATAAGTTGTGAAGAGGAATGTCAGTGTGTGTAACTGCTAGGTTTTTGCTATACTAATGATTTTTTTCCAACTTTCACTGTAAATTTAGTGGGACAGCCTACTACGCAGAAGACTGTCATATATCGCCTTTTGTTTTCTTAAACACTAACCTTACATGCATTCAGATTTTTATTAAAGAATGTTGAAGATGTTCCAAGTAGTCACAGCTTAAGCCTTTGCATCCTTGTCGACAGGGTTTCACAAGTGTATCTTGCTGTTGATGATCGCCTTGCTTCTTTGAAAACGGATACTTTCAGCAAAACAAGAGAAGAGAAGATGGAAGACCTCTTTGCCCAAAAGGAGGTAACGTACTATTTCTGCATTGGCAGACCATAGGCTGCAAAGTGTGTGGAGAAGCCACTCAGATCTAGTGTCATCTCTGGTCACAGAACACTAGCAGTTTTTCTTTTGGCAGATGGAAGAGGGGGAGTTTCGAAACTGGACTGAGAAAATCCAAGCAAGGCTGCTTTCGTCATCATTAGACACACCTCAACAGCTGCAATCTGTTTTTGAGTCTCTGATAGCTAAAAAGCAGGGACTTTGTGAGATGCTACAAGCCTGGAATAATAGGTAAGAGGACTCATGTTGGAATCATGAGCAACACCGATTCTCTGTGTTGATTATAGAAGGGAAGAGGTTCTTTCATGCTTTCTCTGTAGTGCAGTTGGTATATAGAGTGTGTTATGACAGCTTGTGCTGAATGTCCTCTACTGGTTAAGACCACAGAGCTGGTTGATTGGAACAGAAAATCATTTGAGGCCAGATAATAAAAGTATTGTGTTTGTAGAGCACAACTTGCATCTGAGAGGAGAAAGTGTCATTTGAATAAAGGTGGAAGAGGGGAGCATGGGAAAGCAATTGACTGGATGAAATTGTCTCAAAGGTGAAGAAAATGTTCTGGTTTTGGCCATTTGAAATATAGTTTTGCCACACGTTAGCAACCATTTGAGTTTGCAGTAAAGACTTGTGAAGGCATGCTTGGCTGTATTCTGGTATGGAGAAACTTCATAGCTTGTGCCTTTCACAGCTACTACCTGTAACCTATCTTCTGATTAATTTTTCTTCGGGGTTTTGTGTGGTGCTTTTTTTTTTTAAGATTGCAGGATCTCTTCCAACAAGAGAAAGGGAGAAAACGTCCATCAGTACCACCCAGCCCTGGGAGACTGAGGCAAGGTGAAGAAAGCAAGGTACGAGTAACAGGCTAGAAGCTACTTAAACATTTTTTTTCTTTTCCTGGGGCAACACAATAGTCTTAAGACTGGCTTCAGTTCACTTGGTAAACTTGTTTTACCTCATCATGTAGTTTTCAGCTGTAAAAGCTCGAATTGCATGTTAGCATATGTATCTTTCCCCAAAGATGTGAACCAAGAGCCATATTACACAGAAGATGACTAAGTATGAATAGGATTTGATGATTTTCTGTGGTCTTTGTATAGTGTTAATCTGAATACTGACAGCGGAGAGCTGCACTCATTGTCAGGCATGTGCCTAGATAGGAAGGAGGTCACCTCATTAGATCCTAGGTTGTTGCCCATCAGGTTTATCCCTTGTGAAAAAGAAACAGCAACAATTATCAGGAGAGGCAGAGGAAAGAACACAGGAAGGACTGATAATGGATTTGCAGGTCCATCTCTGTTCTGTGATGTGTCCTGTGGGAACTGGCTGAGGGGATGTATAAATGATTTTGGACTGCTGCCTCAAGAACTCCGTCTAAGGGTACGGTTGCTGCCGTGCTGAACAACTACCCTTTGGGGAGCTGGTACTCTGAGAAAATGTCCAGACTGCAAGGCAGTACAATATAAGCATGATACAGAGAGGCTGAACTCCCAATAGTTCTAACATTAGGAACGTGCACTAAGAAACCCCATGAGACCCTGGATTTGCTCTGCTGCATGTATACGTGTACTTTCCACCTAACACATAATTGTTAGATGCTAAAACGCACTTAACCTTGATCTAGCAGCAAGTAGGTTTATATAGAGGAAGAATGTAGTGTTTAAAACAGCAAACAGAGATGATAGCAGTCATAACCATCTTGTGAAGCTGGGTTGCTGTTCCCTTGTCTTTTTTGTGTGGAGGCAGATACAGTGACAGTGCAGTGATCTGTTGTGGTACATCTGCTTTTGCAAGTGTTCCACAGAGGAAGGGATACAGTTATAAAGAGCTTGGCATTAACACTGGTATTTTGTTATTGTGCCTAGATCAGTAGCATGGATGCTTCCCCACGCAATGCTGCTCCAGCACTGCAAAATGGAGAGAAAGGTCTGTTGGTTGGTTGTTTATTTTTCTTAAGCTACCAAAAGAAGCTTGCTGTAACCCTTTCCCTGACATAACATGGGAGCCTTTGTCAAATTTGATACTTCAGAGAAACAGTGAATGCCCATTGTGTCAGATGGGAATAAGCCAATTTCTAGCTTGCTATTATAAAAAGCAGTCTGCTTCTAATATGAAGCTGAATTACTAATGATACTAAATTGGCCAGCAAGGGTTTTCCTTTGAACTTAAGTTTAAAAACTTTCAGAGGCTTTCTGAATAACTGAATAACTACATGGAATTTGGGAAATGTCTCTCGTCTCTTCTGTGAAGTGGTTATGGGTGCTGAGACCTCTTACCTCTGAGGCACTCTGAGAGTTTGTGGGAACTGAAGGTAGCAGGTATAAGCATAACCTCTTCTGGAGGTTATGTGCTACATTGATCAGCTTCCCCGTTCCTTTGCTCTGGGTGGCCTTACCTGCTTTCTAAATAAAAACCTTCTTGAAAGTAGGCACTGGTGATAGTTTGGCCTGGGAGCAAGCAGTATCACTTCTGACAGCCATGTAAAATGCTTTCTTTTTCCTTAACTGTCCCTGTATACTCAGAGGATCGTTTCCTGACTACTTTATCAAGTCAGAGCTCCACAGGCTCCACCCATCTTCAGCTGCCCACCCCTCCAGAGGTTGTATCGGAGCATACAACTGGTGCCAACACACTGTCTGAACAGGATACAACAAGCAGCTCAGAAGGTATAGTTTGGTTGTGGTCTTGTATTCTTTCTCTTGCTTTTCTGTGGCAAATGTATAAGAACAGTTTAGGAAACGTCAAATCTGGTAACTCTGTGGTCTGCAACCTTCCTTCTGAATCTACAGCTTGAAATTTGATATTGTGATGCAGACTTCACTTATCTGTGTTCCAGATGTGTTTGATGGACACTCACTGGGATCTACAGACAGCCAAGTGAAGGAGAAATCTACTATGAAAGCTATTTTGGCTAACTTTTTGCCTGGAAACAACTATAACCCCATTCCATTTCCCTTGTAAGTACTGCGTAATATATATGATGTACAAAATTAGCAGCCTGGTCAAATTGTAAACAGAGCTATGCATGCTTCCTTTGCTCACTATATAATTTAAGTCATCACTTGGGTTTGCCTCCGAATAAGCTACGGAACTTCCTCAAAGCAAGAAGTTTTCTGTGTCCCTTCTAGGTGTTTATAGGTTACCCACTCTTCTTATTAATGATCCACCCTTGTGCATATACATTATCAGTTTCTCTTCCTCCTAGCAGGCATGGGTCCTCAGAACCCTTGTGGGAGGGAAAGGGGTCGGAGGGAAGGGGGAAAAAAGATGTCTTCTAACTTCATTGCTGCAGGGAGGGAGCAGAAATGTCCTTTCTTAGCAAAGACTTACTAAAGCTACATGCCTGCCTCTTGTTTTTGCTTCCAGACCTCTTCCAAGGGTTGGACTCAAATTGGCATTGTCTGGGTGTAGGTCAGGTTCAATGGCTACTGCATGTGCCTTCAAGCCCCCCTCTCATGTGAAAATGGGCAGGCTGGAAAGTCTTTCAGCTACTTGGTCTGCGTGCTTTGTAGTGTTTCTCGTTTGACATGAGCCTAATGTTTGGCAGCCTGAGTTTACCTTCTGAATCCTATTCCCAGGGTAGCAGTGGAAGCCATGGGCTAATGAGGTAAAAATTAAGTGACTGGACCCTACAGATAAGTAAAAGAAAATCTTACAGAAACCCAGGAGGCTTTTGGGAATTTTCTATGCTGAACTGCTTGTTCAGGAAAGAGTCCAGGTTTGTCCCCTAACTTCACTCTGCAGGTTATGCTGCAGGACAGTCAAACTCAGGCAGGTTTTGGTGCCATTAGAAACAGTGGCTGCTAAACAGAAAGAGACTCTAACTTGGAGCTGGTCTTCTGATATAAGCAGCTCGCTTGAAGTGCTGATTGCCCTAACACATTACCATTTAGATTTAACCACAGAGCTATGAATGTGTCTGCTCGGAGAAGCTGATCTGGGGAGCTTTGGTTCCATGCTGAGACTTGCAGCTTGTGTCTGGGAGTGCAGTGATGAGATCTCGGTTTTCACCAAAACTTAACCTTTTCTTTCCACAAACTTACAATCTACTAACAGTCTCCCTATGTTGTTTTCATTTAGCGACCCAGATAAGCACTACCTGATGTATGAGCATGAACGTGTACCTATTGCAGTCTGCGAGAAAGAACCAAGCTCCATCATAGCTTTTGCTCTCAGGTACTGGTGTGATTTTGCTGTTCATCTGACACGTTGTACTTCTGCAGCTTTTCTGTGCAAGGAATATTTAAATTGTAATGGTAGGGAACAAGCATGACAGAATTTCTTCACTCAGCTGTGTTCAGAGTTTCTGCCAGAGCTGAAGTTCTCTCCTGTTACTACTGAGATATGGAAAGCAGGTTTTCCAACTTGCAACTGGATTTCTTGCTGAACTCTTGTACACAAAAAAGAATTAGTTGTGTAGTGTTCCCTGTAATTTGATATTGTTAGCGAAAGAAGTGCAACTAAATTTTGCTCAGCTCTCCAGCCTGGAGGAAGTGCAACTGAGCTAGGGAACAACAGTTAGGTATTCGTACTGCAGTCTGTCCTTTGCCTACCTTCGGTCATAGCAGCTCTGGCTGCTACTCAGCTCTCCAACCCAGCTGCTTCAGTAAATCTTGGGGTTTGCATGTCAAAGCAGCAGAGTTTTAAAGAAGTGCATTCTTAAACTGTGGGAGAGGGAGAAACAAGGGGGGATTTTTCCTGCAGTATGATCTAGAGCAGCTTCTGTTCCAAGGAAACTAAGCTCTAATTGTAAGAAAAAATGAAGGAGAGGTTTTTCTAGTGTGGATTTTTGTTTCCTGTGGTTGTCTCTGGACTGAATCTTTGGGTTGGTGTTACAGAGTCTCCCAGAGAACAGCTGACTTTATTTATTTTATTTTCCTTTCCCCCTCAGTTGCAAGGAGTACAGAAATGCCCTGGATGAGTTGTCCAAAGCATCTCTGAAGAACAGTTCTGAAGAAGGACTACAGCCAAACAGGTTACATGCAGGAACTACAGTACATAGAGCGAAGGCACAGTCATTGTAGCAAATAAGCCAAAACTAGGGTGGGGAAGGACCCTCAAAATATACCTCTGTTAGGATCTCTGCTTTCTGATGGAATCTGACACATTCCATGTAACCAGTACATACATACTTGCGGTATCTGTGTTTCCATTTCATGTCAGGGACTGTGCTGGCTCTGTCACCTGATCCCTTGACTGTGTACATGGTAAGGATTACTGGGCCTGCTTACATTTCCTGTGGCGATGGATGGAACTGTTACTATGGAGCCCACACCTTTATGACTTTAAACTGTATCCTCTTCCCTTAGCAGTACTTAGTGTTAGGCATGGAGGAAAAATAAATGTACAGGAGTAAAGCAATGGTGTCTCAGGTGGTAGTATTTGTTGGGCTCATGACTCTTCTTTTTTTTTTTTTTTTTTTTTTTTTTCTCCTTCCAGCATGTCAGACAGCAAACCAAAGAGCAGTAGCCCTGTCCGCCTGCCTGAGGCTAACGTGGGTCCTTCAAATCGCAATGCAGAACCAGAACAGCGTAAGAGTATTTTGCCAAAATCATATCCATGATGCTAATTGCAGCTCAGACTTCTCAGACTTGAGTCCACTTAACCTGGGTTCTAGCTCTTGTGAAAGTTAAGTTAGAACAAACAAAACGCATTCTGAATTGCCCAGGGAGGTAGTGGAGGTCCCATCCCTAGAAACATTCAAGGTCAGGTTGGATGGGGCTCTGAGCAATCTGATCTAGTTAAAGATGTCTCTGTTCACTGCAGGGGGGTTGGGCTAGATGGCCTCTAAAGGCCCCTTCCAACCCAAAGAATTCTATGAGTTGAAATTGTGACTAGTCTTAGAGTTGACTTGATGTAGAACGTGGTGGGGGTGCGTGGGTGTGTTCGTTTTTTTGAAATCTGTGCCCATGATGGCCTTCTCTGATTCTTATGAGATCAGATTATCATTCCCTGATTTAATATGTTATGATGTAGTGGACCTTGAGCTGTTCTTGAGTCTAGCCTGTTTAGTGGGGTATGATGGCCATAATATGTTCTAACCTCTTTTGACACTGCATTTTTTTAAAAAAAATGGCAATTAAAATATTTTGAAATGGAGAGGTGTAGTTCTTACTATGTTGAAGATGCTCATGCTTGGTCTGTGTTTTCAAATGACTCAGAATTCCAGAATGCTACTTGGAATACTAAATCAGCTAACCTGATGGACCTTGGTTGCCTGAAGAGTTGCAAATGAGTTACAGTTGAATGACATCGTTCCTCCAGTTAGAACAATGAATTAAGAATGCTCATATGAGTCATGCTTTTATTAAACTGCCTGTGGAAATGCCAAAGCCAACTTCTTTATTCCTTTTCATTGTAGCAAAGAAACCATCTAGTGTTTTGTCTTTCTTCCGTGGCACGGGAGGGAAGAGCCCGGACCTGTCTTTGCAGAAGAAAGAGACCTTACGTGGTGCTGACAGTGCCTACTACCAGGTTGGGCAGATGGGGAAAGACGGAGCAGAAAACCAAGGAGCAGAGCCTCAAGGTACAAGACTGTTAAGTCCATCTTCTGTCTTGGATTGTTACCTCTCCCAAACCTCATTCATATGTGTAAGGCCCAGAATGCACTCCGGCTCATACTTTTTCAGCAGTCCAAGAGTACTTAACATGCATTGAAAATTAATGATTTGAGCATCAAATGTAGGTTTCTCCTACACTTTCTCCTACATTCTCCTACATCTTTCAAACCCCAGTAACTGTAGGGATATAGAGTAGTCTGGGCTTGAATGCCTTTGGATTGAGTTGACTCCAGTGAAGCAGCCCAGTCTCTCTTCCTCGCTTCCTGTTTAACTTTCATTGTTTCAGCTCATGGAAAATGAATGAAGAGAAAACAAAGAGAAAGCTTACACTTATGTGTCCCATGAACAGCAGTGCCTTTCTAGCATACATATTACATCATACCATTATAGCTGTATCTCTAATTCCCTATGTGTAGTTCCTCTGTATTCTTGAAAAAAAAAAATTTTTCTTGTAATGTGAGTTTACAAGTAGTATCTTACATGGCTTTCTTGGCAATGACAACAAACAACCCTGACACAGTGGTCCCTTTATGCCTTCAGATGACATAGATGGAGGAGATGGACAGAAGAAACAGCTGGTGAATCCCCATGTGGAACTCCGTGAGTAGTTATAAATAATAACTTAAAGTCTTAGCTAACAAATTCCTTTCTTCATGGAAATGTAATAGAAATCTTGAAGTTAATTATTTTTTCTTTGTATTGGGCAGGAAGGAAAAACAAACCAAGAACAGAGCAATGCAGTTTTTACTTACTTTAATCAATTTCTCTGTTGCAAAAATACCCCATAAAACTTTTTTTTTAAATTGATCTTTTGTCTGGATGCTTTCCCATGGTGTATACTGTGAGCTAAGCTAAAGGGGGTTGACCTGTAAGTTTTCCATTTAAATCCTATTGGTTTAAACGTCCAAAGTACAATAGGTGTGAGCAAGGGATGTTTAGCACAATAATATTCTTCTAGACATCAGTGAGCAAGGGATGTTTAGCACAATAATATTCTTCTAGACATCAGTGAGCAAGGGATGTTTAGCACAATAATATTCTTCTAGACATCAGTGAGCAAGGGATGTTTAGCACAATAATATTCTTCTAGACATCAGTAAAATCTCCAAGTGTCATCTCAGGTACTCAGTGAGCATTGCATGCTGTTATTGAGGAAGACTTTCTTTTGCAGAGTTTTCAGATGCGAATGCCAAGTTCTACTGCCGGATTTATTATGCTGGCGAATTTCACAAGATGCGTGAAGTGATACTGGGGAGCAGTGAAGAGGACTTCATCCGATCCCTCTCTCACTCTATGCCCTGGCAGGCACGAGGTGGCAAATCTGGGGCTGCGTTCTATGTGACTGAGGGTAAAAGCAGCTGCTTCTCCCTTCGTAATCAGAGGGTATTATTTGGGGATGGTGATGGTGGGGATGGTGGTGGTTAATGTGTCACTTAATCCCTGATCACCTCTAGCCAGAGGGTTGCTGACTGTGAAGTGGCCACTCAGAATGGAAAGTTAAGTGGATTGTTCTGGGATCTTCAATATCAAATTATTTTTCTTTTTTGTATATGCAGGAGAACAAAATGTAATTCTGTTTTTCAGTAGTAGCAGCTAGGGAGGCCAGTTGAGCAGTTGTATGCTCTTAGGTAGGCATCAGAAAACAAAAACATGAGTATAATTCAAGGAAAACTGGTTATTAAAGACATAGTTGGGTTGTTTGTTTTTTTTTTTTTTAAAAACTGTGGCTGATTCTAGGCCCTTACTTAAAACAAGTCTTGAATGGAAGGATCTGTAGGCTGTTTCTGTTGTCTGTATAAGAAGCCCATGTAGCTCTGGTAAATCTGACTTAGGCAGTCTCTTCTCCCTGATTTGCTAGGAGGTTGAAATTCTGAAAATCAGAATATATCAAGTAAAAAAGTTTCTAGAAATGAGCTTCTGTAGCTAAGGATTTAAGAGAATTGTAGTCCTTTAATTTTTCAGACCACTTCAGATGTGTGACAGTCCTAAAGAACTTGCAAAGAATACATCACTTACTGTGTGTAACTCTATTGCTTCTGTCCGATGTTGAAACAGATGATAGATTCATCTTGAAGCAGATGCCTCGTCTGGAAGTCCAGTCGTTCCTCGACTTTGCTCCACACTACTTCACTTACATCATTAATGCAGTTCAGCAGAAGGTATTAAAAAAAAAAAAAAGGTGCCTTTTATTCTCTTGTTATAGGCAGTGTTCTATATTTTACGGACTAGTGACAGTTTCCATTAATGCCTTTAAGTAAAAGATGATGTCGGAGGGTGTGAGTTGTACTAATAATGTGTTTTTTAAGATGAAAGGTGGGAATTTTGCTAGAGCTTCTAAGCTGTAATACACAGTCAGACAGAACAGTGATGCCTCTAGTATTTGATTGCTGATTGCCTGTACACAGAGATCTTACCCTATGTCTTCTCTTCATCAGAAGCCCACAGCACTGGCCAAAATACTTGGGGTGTATAGAATTGGATACAAGAACTCTCAAAACAACACTGAAAAGAAGCTGGATCTGCTTGTCATGGAAAACCTTTTCTATGGCAGGAAAATGGCTCAGGTAAGAACCAAGTGTTCTGTTCCCTTGCAGTGCAGTTCTGACTGGGAGCAAGAGCAGGATTACCATAGCCGTCTAGGTAACTTTTAACTTTGCACGTGCTGTCAATATCTAGCACTGCTCAAAGATGACAGTTTGTGCCCATTTCCTTGTTATGTGATCCTCAGTAACTTGATGCATATATTGGCTAGTTCAGATAGCTGTAGTGCAGGCTTCAGTTTTTAGAAGTCTTACTTGTCCCTGCATCTCCAGTATCTGAGAGAAAGCATTGTCAACCTAATTAGGAAAATGTGAAACCTTTTTGCAAAGCTTTTAGAAGATCTAACTGGGATTACAGACTGATTTAGAAGGAGAGGCTCACCAATGGAGATGGTGACCTACTGTTTAGCGTGGAGGAACTAATAATATTTTCAGCCTGCTGTTCTCTCTGAACCATTTCATGTATGGGACAAGATTTTGAGTTCAGCCTTTCTCTTAGTAATGCAAAAGCAACCTTTATGAGGCAGTAGAATGAAGACCTTAAAATGACCGGGGGAAAATTCTCTTCAAATACAGAGTTGATGCTGAAAGGAATTTCAAACAAATGTTGCTTCTAAAACTAGATAGTATTGATTCTTTCCACCTTCCTTCCCAGTGCCTGACCTCAAACAGGTGATGTCTGTGGGAGGAAGTGAACTGAGCGAATTCTAGGTAGATGTAAAGGATGTTGTTGTGGGTTTTCTTTTTGTTTGTCTGTTTTTTAAATCACAAAGGGTGGTCAGGCACTAGAACAGAGACCCAAAAAGGCTGTGGACTTTATCTCTGAAGTTAGTCAAATCTTGACTGGAGAGGGCTTGAACAACCTTCTCTACAGGACCTGCTTCAAGCAGGGCATTGGACTGGAGACCTCCAGAGATTCTTTCCAACTTAATGATGGTCCGTCTCTGCCTTGCCAACAGATGTTAAATGGTGCTTCATGCAAGACCCACATCCCTCTTCAGTGGCTTTACTTTTGTCAGCATTTGAGTCTGTAGAAGCTGGAAAACTGAGTTTACCCACACAGTATAAAAATAGGGACACCCTTTTTCCCTTAAATTAGGCTAAATATTAATGAAATAGCTTGCCTAAAATTTGTGAATTGAGGTGGCAGAGCTTTCATGTGGCCTTACATGCTACTCTTCACTCAGGAAATTTTAATTTCTGTAGTATGAAAATGTTTTTTGTTAACTGTCCTCCTCCTGCGGAGAGGAAAGAATTGCCCTGCTGTGCTGCCTTCTCAAACACTGCAGTTAGGTGTGCTGAAGTCTTTAACCTCGCAGAACAACTGAACAAAGTAGTGCTGTTCTCCATTTGCAGGTTTTTGACCTGAAGGGCTCCCTCCGGAATAGAAATGTTAAAACAGACACAGGCAAGGAAAGCTGTGATGTAGTCCTGCTGGATGAGAACCTTCTGAAGATGGTCCGGGATAATCCTTTGTACATCCGTTCCCATTGCAAGGCTGTCCTGAGAGCTTCCATACACAGTGATTCCCAGTTCCTCTCCAGCCACCTCATCATTGATTATTCTCTGCTGGTGGGTCGTGATGATACCAACAATGAGCTGGTTGTTGGGATCATTGGTAGGTTGTCTTCTGTATTTTCTTGCTTTCAGCTGGTGGAACTGCTTTCTTCTGGTTTAGGTGATTATAGTACTCTTAGAACTGTACCGCCACCACAGATGTGTGTCAGGAAAGCTTGTCTTCTCCCTGATGGAGTACCACCCTCACCTTTCATGGGTATTCTAAGAGGAGCCAGGAAGTCCTCTCCGGCTGTTGCATGGGCTTGTGTTAGCATTTGCAGGCCTCACAGGTAGTGAAAAAGCAGTCAAGCTGGTGTTTAACCTACACTTTGACTCCAGTTGAAGTCGGGAAGGTTATTTGTATGCTTTGCATTTAATCTTTAAAGTTAAGGTCAGTAATGTTTACATAGCCATTTAAATTCTAGCTTGCGTGGAGGGGATCTAAAGAGAAACAATATTGGTAGGGATGGAAGAGGGAAGTTAAATGTCATGGAATCACTTGTGATCATGTAGTCTGACCTGGATAATATGGGTGGCAACCTAGTAATTACCTTGCCATATCCTCTGACTTGTGACTGGAAAGTAGAGCCTCATCTTTAGACAGGCAAACTTGTATTGTGCAAAAGACTTGGAGATGAAGCTGTTTTGCAGGATGTGGCAGTGACTCTTGGAAATGAGATGCTCTTGAAATCTAGCTCAGAAATGCTTCCAGATGAGATCTCAAGGCAGAAGGTCTGGATTACCCTTTTTCTGACACAGCTTGAAAGCCATTCCAGTAATGCTTCTAGCTGAGAATTTTAAGTCCCAGCTACAAAGAGCTGGAAGTTGTTACTAATTTCTAGTTAGTAGAAACTAGTAGAAACTCTAGTTAGAGTTGTAGGCTCTTGAATATTTGGGTAAATGGGATGAGACTCTGCTCCTTCTGTACATGCAGCATTTTGCTGTCCTATGGAAAGTCTTACCTGATTAAAGAGTATATTTGATATGATGTTTAAAGCTAACAGTTCCTTCACTGTGGTGAGAACAGCTCTTCATGATCTGAAGGAACTTGTTTAACATAAATATCCTCAAGAAGAGAGAGCATGCTTGCTGTATCAGGCTATCACAATGTTCTCTAAATGATACCCTGACAAAGTACTCAAGCTAAATTTGTGGTGGGGGCGGAACTAAAACCCAATAGCTTGGACAGAGTTTGAATCTGAAGTCAGAATCTGTTACCTATTTTAGATCCTAATGTGATACAGGAAACAAGTAAGTTACATCTGTGAGGAGCTGTGAAGGCTTTATTTTATTTGTAGGCCCTGTTGTGTGGGGCTCTGGACCTTGGGGCATGAAGTGACAGTAGTTCACAAACTGATGATATCAGTCCCAAAGCACTCTAAGGGAGTGCTTTCAAAGAGTATTCAGATACATGGATAAGTTTTAAGATTGGCAAGTCTGCATGAGTTTTGTGTAAAGCATAGCTGAGGTGAAATGTGGATACTTACGGTGGCCTTTTGTAAATCCAGAAACAGTGAGTTCAAAATTGTATAATTACAGTTGTAGTTAAATGTTAGGAGATAATGATATCCAGTAATGAAAAACTTAATTTGCTTTAGCTTTGCAGACCAAAATGTTCATGTGCTTGTAATGACTGGGCATGCTTTCCCTGAAAGGGGCTTGGAAACAATTCTGAAGTCTTCTCCTTGCAGCCCCCTCTTCCAATCAGGGTTACTGGTGGTGTTTCCAGTCCACCACATCATGAAGTGAAAAGTGTTTGCTTTCTGTTATCAAAACTGTAGGTGGCTGCAATGATGAGGAATACTGGCTTAAGTGGATAGGTGTCCAAGTCTTGATGCTGCTAGCTGTTGCCGTAAAGTAGTGGGAGCTGTTATGGTGAAGTGGGGCTTCTTTGTATGTTTCTGGGATGAGGATCGACTAAGTGACTCTTGTAAATGAGCCATTGAAACTCTAACGTGGATAAAGACAGACATGCCTGGGCAGTCTGTTTTTGTAGAGGCAGGAAGAGTTGATTGTGATCTTGCTGGGCTTTTGAGATATCATATTCACTGTACCCAAATCTAATCAATACTCCAGAAAGCTGGGCAACTGGTAGGGGGAACTACGGTAGCTATGGTAGCCTACTGCTTTCTGCCCTTTTTGAGGGGAAATAGGTACATTTTAGAACAGTGTTACTTGGGTTATAGCAGATATGACATGTTTGCGTGTCAATTTTTTTGGTGGTTTTTTAATTTTTTTTATTGCAACAGACTATATTCGCACTTTTACGTGGGACAAAAAGCTTGAAATGGTGGTGAAATCAACTGGCATCTTGGGAGGACAAGGTAAGTCCAGAATGAAAGCAAAATTTTTGATCATGCTTCCTTGTTACCCGGAAGCTTCCAATAACTGTGCTAATAAAGCCACAACTTCCCCACCATGCAGATTTGCAACACTAGATTAAGTTGCCCACAACAGGGGAAGGAATAACAAGTGTCAGAAAAATTAATACATTGATCTGCCTCCATGAGTGACCCTTTAAGTACTATAATTCCTGGGAAAGGGGGTAAAGGTTATTTATTTATGGGACTGTTCTTTTCAGTTTCCTAGTTACCAACTACTCACATACAAACTTAGTCACCCATACAGAGCTACTAGCAAAAAACCTTGCTGCTTGGCTTCAGAAGACCTTTTCTGAGTCCAGAAAATCAGACATACTCTGAGCTGTTAGTGTGGAGAAAACCTTATCAAATGATTGACTACTGCCCATATTTTGAGGAGCTGAGGAGTTTCCTTTGTGGAAGTGAGTAGAGTACCTTTTGTGCAGCATTGCCTAGTGTTGGCCACATGTTAGTAGGAGGGCTGGAAAGAGAAAGGAAGGGGAACACTTGATGTGCCACTGCTCAGGTGTCTGGAGAAGGTAAGAGTATGTCCGCAGAGTGAAATTGTTCATGGGAGAAATTTGCATCTTGCTGAAAAACCTCAAAGACCTGTAAACAGGAGAAGAGGAAAAAGAAACAGACTGATCAGGGCTGATGTAAAAAGCCTAGACAGTTCCTCCAACTTCAGGTATCTCAATTCAGTGTTAGGGGTCCAGATCTTGATCTGCCTTCTCTTCTAAATGTTTAAAATAAAAATTTAAAAAAAAAAAAAAAAAGGCAACTGATAATGCTTGTTGGTTCCAAGACCCTTCCATGTACAGTATGCCTTCATGATTATGCTGTCTGGTGTTGTAATCTCATGTGACATCTGTCTGTATTACAGCATACTCTTTAGCCCATTTCTAACTGCTCTTCACTCTTACACATTAGGTAAGATGCCAACTGTGGTCTCTCCAGAACTGTACCGGACCAGGTTTTGTGAAGCTATGGACAAGTATTTCTTGATGGTGCCAGACCATTGGACAGGACTGGGCCTGAATTGCTAAGCTAAAGCCCATATTGGGAAAGCACAAGAGGACAATGACGTTATAGGCCACTCGTCCTGCGGTATGTCCAGCAGTAAGCAAGAGGATTGCAGTTCCATGTCTACACTGACCATGTGTGCAATGTTCCGAAGTGTGAAATCTGCTTGTTGCACTTTAATCCTCTCTTGGAGGCTGATAAGTGAACCAGCCTCACTAAGGATCTAAGCTGCAAGGTACCTGAACATCACTGATAAGAGACATTCCCTCTGTCAGTTGGGAAGGTGATGCTATCTCCATGTAAGAACACTGAAACAGATATTACCCAGTTCATGATGGTGTAGAAGTACATGATCTCTCTAAGTGTTGCACTGCTTAAGTGGTGTTGAATATCAGTAGTTCATGTTTCTGTAGTGGATGCGTGGTACTGCAAATGTGAAATAAACCCCCCTCTGTGTGTGTGGGTGGGTGAGACAAGAATGAAGTTTATTCCTGAGTTCTGCTATTGTTGCAGTGGTCTGTAGTTGACCTGTTTAGGATCCATGAATAACTTGTCCTGCTTATGCTCTGTAGCTTCAGTTTTTCCTGGGTTCTGTTAACAGTATTTTTTTTTTTTTTTTTAAGGCAGCTCCACAGCTATAATGCCATATCACTACATCTTTTAAGTTATATTACTGCAGTACAACTCTGTCTTTATCTGTTGTAATTTCATTTTAGCTGAATCCCATAAAAATGGGTTGTCAGTCATCAGCATACTGCAAAACCGCAAACATATCCCTTCAATCCTAAACCATACTTTGATATGAATGTTGCTCAAATCCCTGGAAACAGGTAACTAAAAAATACAGCCTTTAATTTAACAAGACTTGATTAATTACAGTTATGAAGCTGATTAACCCTTTCCTTAGCAGAAGGCACTAAGTTGCTAGACAAAATGAAGCGTACTGCTTTAGAGTGACAACTTTCTCCTTAATGAAACCATCATTCCTGGCAGATCACTTCAAATCTATTTCAGTTTGCTAGGACTTTCAAACAATGCATTTACCTCATAGTGAAACTTTGCTAGCAGAATGTTTTTCTTGCATTCATGACATGCTGATGAGAATGAGCATCTAGATCTCATCACACTGTACAGTCCCTATGGAAAAACTGTCTCTTTAGCAGTATTAGATATTTTTTTTTTTTTTTTTTGCACCACTGAGATGAATGTAGTCATCTTTTTCTGTAAAAACAAAAGCCTGAACTAACAGGTATCTTGTATGATGGATAAGATGTGCAGAGATCTGTGAATCTCTATGTTACGACAATAAGCACTTCTTTCCATTTTTATTAATTTTTACCTGTTTTTGTAGGTAATGAGTTTACTTTTTAGCTTCATTATAATATAGGCCAGTAAATAAGAGGGTTTTTTATGAGTTTGAGAGGCAAGAATACTGTCCTTTGATTTCTAGCCTCTGATGGAAGGACTTCAAACGAACATGGAGTCTGGGACAGTATAGCTCTTCATGACCACTTGCTCATTCTGAGCAGTTGCCTGGTAATGCCGTCTTTACTGTAACTATGGATTGAAATGTGCATTTTGTTCACTCCTCCTGTGTTCAGTATTTTCCTCTGCAGCAGATGGTGGTGGCTCTGTTCAGGAGTGACAGCTGGGTAGCGCTGAGAAAGGAAAATGCCAGCAGTGAGAATTGAACTGTTGGTTCCAAAAAAACCAGTGCAGCTCAGGTCTGAGCTGCCAGGAGGCAACAGTCATTTGTGTCGGAAGAAGTCTTCCCCACCCCATTGCAAAGCCCTACTGGAAGATGAGTAAAGACGCTGACCTTGAAGCAGCAGAAATGAAAGTATTCTCACTTCCTCTGTACAATGTAATCATTGTTTCTGGGGGTGCAGTGGAAAAATGACACAGTACTTCTTGCTTCCTCTGGCCCAGAATCCCTTCAGTCCAACATAGTGCATCAGGTACAGCTGACCACCTCTGGGACACATCTTGCCTCCTGTGTTGAAAGGTACTCCCAGGATGGCTAGCTGTGTGTGGGGCCTTGTGTAATGAGGAACCAACCAGTCCATCAGCTCAATGCTACTGTCACTTCTGTGGCTTCTACCTTCTGTCTTGGTCCATTGATGTGAAAGAGCATGCCATGCAGCCTGAATCTGTTCCGGTCTCAGATAAAGTTTACATGTGTTCCTCCTCCTTCCTCTCCTAAGGTTTACAAGGAAAAAACTTGACTTGCCTGACCAGCTAAGGTGACCTAACAGCAGCTGGCTCTGTTATCTTCCACCTTTGTCACTATGTGGATTGGTTGATGGAACATGAATACGGGCAGTGTCATGGCATCTGCACTAGGCTAATGTAGAGCTGTGATGTGCTAGCCCTGTCCTGTCACCAGTAACCCTTACTCCAGTGATGTGTGGCTGCTCTCTATTGCTTGTCTTCCAGAGTCTCAAGCAGCTGGCTCTAAAGCAACATGATCATCTCACTGTAGCTGATGTTCCCCTGCATATGACAGCATGAGGCCCTCAGCACTGTAAAAGTGAGAGAACCTTCCACTGGCCAGCTGTTTTGCAGCCTGTGAATGCAGGGCCCAAACGTGTGAATTGGGACCATCTTGGGCTGAAGTTATAGCAGTTGGAGAGATTTGCAGGAGTGATCTTGAGCTGGCATCAACAGCTAACTTTAGGTCAGGATGTGGCTGATAGACTAGTCCTGATCAGACTGGAGTAAACAGCAAGCTACTAGTCATGAATAATGTAGTAGCTGCAGTATCAACTGGAATTGGGACATCTTTGGGTGCCATGTGACATAAAGCTGTAAGCGTTTCTAGTTCAAATCCCAGCAGTTGAACAGATTTCAAACATTCCCTTTTCAGAATAAGAATTGTCCTGGCATTTCACTTGCTACAAAGCTGACTTTTGAGAAAGGAGAGCAATACTTTATGCAGAAGAGATCTTTGAGAGAGCTCCTTGTGGGGCTGTGTTAGGTCTGTGTCCCTGCAGCATGCCTAAGGATGTCCTAGGGGAGCAGCCTAGGTATTACATGAGCCCTTTGAGAGTTTTTTATTTCTTTATAACACAGGTTTAGCATATATGTGTGTAAGCACATCCCAGTTGCAAACATGGAGACTGCATTTCTTCAGAGCTACACTGGCTTTTTCTTCTGTTGTTTTGATCTGAGGCCTTGTGACAAATGTCTACATCTTGTCCCAGTCAGAAGCGATGACTTGCTTTGAGTCTTCGTGTAGACAACAGAATGCCTTGTAGTGGCCCAGCAATGCATTCTGTCCCCCAAAAGCACATGAGGGTACTCTTGCTGGTTAAGTAGCTCTGCTGGGCTCAGGGGAGTTACCTGTGGAGCAGACTCTCCTCTGTGAGAATGACCAAGACCAAATGAATCGCTCTCTAGCAGGTGGCCAGACTAATCATTATTCAAAGCACTTAATGTACCATAATGTATGTATTTCTAATCTACCTTGGTTCAGCTGTATTTTATAAAATTCATGTACTAAACTATTTGAGAATAACTGCCTTGACTACTTGGAGAATCAAAATGTAATGTGTATATAGATACAAATAAAGTGACTAAAATATACTTGAGTCTATTCCATGTGGTGGAGCAGTTAGGTCTCATAGCATCCCATTTTCTTGATCAGAGGCTAAGCCTTCTGCTTGCTCTGCAGGAATTGCTCTGTTGGAGGTTGCCAGCTTTGTGTGCAGTGTAAGCATGCCTGTCATGTCTCTATACCTTGCAGCTCATCTTCCTCTAATGGAGCGGGACCTCTGGGCAGCTCTCCAGGTCAGTGGCAGGAGAATGTGCAAATAACCTTTCATGCACTTCTCCCATCTTCTCCCCAGCTGCTTTTCAACACACTGCTGTGAGACAGGGAGCCAGTTTTGTCCAGCAGATGGTGGTGTTGCTGTGGCCCAATTCTTCCAAGAGGCAGAACACATTCCTCAGAAAAAATCTCCAGGTATTTCTGTAGTCTTCTCTTAAGTAGAGTAGATAAAGAAAAAATCCAAGGAGGTCTGAAAATTAATGGCATATCTTGATTGCTTCATATTAACCTGATATATAGTAACTTCCTCTCTTAAAGCTAAAAATAATGTGTGGTTAGTTCTGGGAAGGGGACTTGTTGGTTCCTAGAATATAAAACTCAAAATCTAAAACTTAAGGATTTTACCTGTTTTATGTGCCATCACTACTTTTGCCGGGTGAGTTTGAGTTGTTTTACCTGCTGCAGTATGAAACTGCATCAGAAGCTGTCCCACCATGAGGGTGTGAGCAAGGCAAAAGGTGGGATACTCAAACAGTAATTGCATGTGTCTTCCATTGATCTAACTGATGGTATGAGACATTGGTCAACTTCCCCACTGCCACCTTGATTTAGACAATACTACTATTTAAAAAGAAAAAAAAGGAGGGGGGAGAAGTTGGGATTCACCATCTCAGTCTATGCTGTAATGTCTCAATTGGAGTCCTCTGGTGTCCTAATGTGAAGACTCACAAGCAACAAGAAGTACTTCAGTTTTAGTGTGGAGGAACTAAGTCAATTCAGATACAGAGTAACTTTGCACAATAATTGGGAAAAGCCAGGCCATCCCTCATTTCTCCCTGTTTTTAGGACACAGAACTGGAAATCTGGCACATTATTCAAGACCTAGCTGTGCTAGACACTGATACTAGGCTAGTATTGCCACTAAGGTACTAAAGAAAACAGGGATCTAGGGTCTCCAAGCTCCTGCTGTGGAGCCTTGGTTTGTTGTCAGATCTCTGTAAGGAACAAAAGAACAAAACAAACAAAACCCCAGTTGCTTCATTTTTTTGGTGAGAGGGGGTTTGTCTGTATCTTTAAATGTGTGTCTGGAGGCAGAGCCTGCTTCTCAAAGATGAAGGGTGACAGAAACAGGTAAGAAGAGTGGATTGGGGGCTTGTTTGGTAATCCAGCAGAGTCAGAATGAGCCCCAACATGTGCATCCTGTTACAATGCCTTGTTCTCCAGCCCCTGCTGCCTCTCATAGCATGAAAGTCCTACATCATGTGATGTGTGTGAGGGCAGAAAGGAATGCTTAGTTTGAATGACGAAAAACAGTGCTCTAATATATCTCTGGTTATGAATTATTATCCTACATGCTGAGGCTAAGCTTTGCAGAGCTCCAAGCAAGCCAGTTTCTTACACACCATAAAGCCAGTGTTCTTGAGTGTTTCCAAAGGCACAAGGTTGTCATCCTACAAAACCGTGCTCGTTCGCACAGCTTGTGCTGCTTACAGAGGCTGTTTCTCAGTTTAACTCCTGCAATAGCTTGCAATAATACATGAAAGCAGAGTTGTTAGCAGCCAGCCAACTCCTTATTCCCTCTGTGTTTTTTCCTTAGGTGAGATCCTTTCCTGCTGGTCTGTGTCATTTGTGGAGCTGCTTTCATTGCACCTCCTCTCTGTGATTATAAGTAGCTTCTCTGTTGGAGGTCTTGCTTGTAGATCTCTGTAGGTAAACTTGTGTTACCAGAATTAGCTGACTCTGGTCCTAATCTGAAGGCTCTTTCCAAGCCCAGTCTGAAGGCTCCCTAACTAGTC